TATATATATATATATGTATATCGCGTGCATAGCTAGGAGGAGGTAATTGCACTAAATGCTGCCTCGGAATTGTCAACCTAGCAGAGAAAATATTTTCACTCGTAGGGATATAATAATCTGGAGTATGCGTTCTGCATTCCTTAAGCGTGCATTTGATGCATTTGCTGGAAACACCGAGCGGCCGCCGGGGTCGCTGTTGCAGCCTGGTTGTTCAAAGAGAAAGGACTAGCAGCGCCACACTGAAGCTATTACCTAGGAAGAGCTCATAATTACTAAAGTGAGGAGGTATATATTGCATGAAATGGCGACGTTGGAGCGCAGGTTGTGCGCAACAGGGTCACTGAACTGTGAAATTGAGGGAAACGGCTGCATAAATTCAGGGGCCTTCGAGTAATCTGATTTTTAATGTCAAATTTCAATTTGTTAAAAACAGAAACATTGGACTTTAAGCGGTTTTAGTGCTGCTTCGTATCGTGTTCTGACCTCGTTCTGGAACGGGGCCAGCGGTCGCTAGGCTAAGTAGGGACCGAAAGACATACGCGCCCGAAGCTGTGGAGCTTTTAGCTACCAACATCGCAGTTTCAGTCCAGTACATTAATTAAAATCCAATACAGATTTTAAAATTTTCGGTTTTCAACGGATAACAACCAGTGGTTACCAGATCGGACCCCGTTAGTGTGCAGGCGGGGACTTTAACTAAGGTGGTCACTTTGCAAAGCTCGAGTTTATCTGCAAAAGATACCACACCCTTCATGAATTTTAGGGCTGCGCTGTTTAATGATATTCATGTTTTCTTCATCCAAGACCACTAAACGTCACCGAAGGAGGTGGTTACGGATCCCACCTGCAGCCCCTCCACAACTAACTACGCCATCCTTTGACTGCAAGTCAGCCTTGTTCTCCTCAATAAATATTCTCACGTCTCCACTTCACATATTCTGTTGTCTCTTCGGCTGGAGGAGAGTCTATTATGGGGGGACTGCCGTCCTGGGCGCCCTCGGCACTCCCGCTTGGCATTCAAGGGGAGGGAGCGAGCGTGTGGAGTTCGCTGGTTCTCGGGGTAGCACTCTGTCAGATTGCTTTGGGGGTTCTATTCAACGTGTTTTCTGCAGAAAACCCGTGAGATGCGCAATACAAGTTCAAAGAAAGCAATGGGTATCCATGCAGCTTTTGGCAGCTAGGAGCAAAAGGGGCGCACAGGCTCATTCATCTTGCTAGAAAGTTTCTGTCTTTGCCGCCCTCTGTGCAACATCTCAGACTCCCATGGGGGAAATTCAGAAGTCGCGCCAAATCCTACTGGGGTCCTCCGGTGCCGAGTTGGGCTGCGTGGATGTTTCAAGAGTTGCCATCTGCACTCCTCCCCGCTGCTATGCTGCTGTGGTCGCAGCTTTGTCATGGTGCGTTAAAGTAGTAAAAGGAGAACGAATGGGAGCACTTTGAAGCTAATTATCAGTAACAACAGCTAGGTCTCAGAACATAAAGAAGCGCCGCGAAGTTGTGGCAGCACATTTCAGAGTAGACACCGAGCAGCGGAAGGGCAATGCAGATTTACCGAGTGCAAGGAAGTGCAACCCTAATCTCTTGAATTCGTTGCAAAATTTCGCGTGAAGTTTGCGGTATGTTCTTCTTGCAGGGAAACCATTTAACCTGATCGTGGTCATGGCCTTCACCCTGCATTACGTGTACAGGGTTTTCATCTACTCCCTGCGGCATTACCGTTTACCCGAGTCCAGGCGGCGCGATACAGTGCCTCTGTTGGTTCCCCTGTCTGCGTTTATGTTCTGCTTTGCTAATGGGCTGGCCCAGAGTCTGACTGGCTGTTATTTCAACTACTCAAGGGAAATGAGAGGTTTGAGGTACCTGTTCCCAGATTGGGCCCCCTTATACGATGGCGAGCTTGAAGCGCTGCACAAAACAAGTATATGGGATACCCTGGCCCTATTGCGTTTCACCGTCGGGCTAGTTATCTTTGTATACGGTATGGCTGTGAACATCTCCGCTGATGAACATTTGCTACAACTGAAGACAATACGGGCGCAAGACGGCGCTGTGCCTCAAGCATCATCCTCCGCCCCTCCCCAAAATCATGAAGGCGTTGTAACCCTCAGGAGGTCATCGCGTATCGCAGCAAAGAAAGACGGTGATAATTTTGTCACGTTCAAATACAGCGCACATCCGCATGGGGCAGGCCTAGCTGCGTATAAGATTCCCCGTTCGGGTTGGTTTCAGCAAGTTTCCTGCGCCAACTACTGGGGTGAAATATGCGAATGGTTCGGCTACTCCATAATGTGCAACTCAGTTGTTGCATTTTCCTTCGCAATCTTCACACTCCTCTTCCTTGGCCGCAGGGGAGTGCAGACTCACAAGTGGTACAAGGGACGTTTTGGTGGAAACTATCCAGAAAACCGTCGAGCAGTTATTCCCTATATACTGTAAAGTATTGTTTTCGTTCAATGGTAGTTCAGTCGAATTCAGCTGCCTGCGGGGCGAACGAAGAGTTCTGCTACTGCGCCGCCACCGCCGGCACCTGGTGTAAGCAGCTCAGTATTGGGGTCATTCATGGTTACTGAGTCCAACCTGAAGGATGATTGAAGCTGTTTCGAAAGGCGGTTTGTACCGATTAGTGCAACGCAGAGCAGGTGGAGAGAGGGCACCAGGCTCACGAGTAGCGAGCACGACAATCTGCTACTTGTTTCAACAGGATTGAAGCGTGAAAGAATGTCTCCTGTAGTTCTTCTTCACATTCGCCGATTAAATTAGCCGTCCTTGTTGAACTGTCGAATAGCTATTGCTTAAAAAAACCACTAGATGGTGATGTTCGCAAAGTTTGCAACAACCCATGCTGAGGGCGTTTCCCCTCTGCCGCGCGCGCCGGCCAACAACGATGTGAGGTAACGAGTCAGTTAAGGCACAAGTGGGAACTTCATTCATGCTTTTTGGGCGATGATTTACTGTGCAATTTTTATTTCTCGACTGGGGTATCGTCTTCTGAGGCGAAAGCTGCACGCTAGTACTGTGTCAGGCACCCTTGCCTCCAACTGGAGGGGGACCGAAGGAGGACCATCTTGCACTGAAAGCGAAGCTCGCGAATCCCAGGCATTTCCTGAATGGCTCTTGATTACATACTATATATAAATATCCATAATATGTAAAAAAACCAAAATATAGGAACACTATCGTCGCCGCCACCCTTTAATCTTCAACCTCAGAGCCTCCACGGCCCATCGGACGATGGTATGCGGTGCTACTGCACTGCACCAGCAACATCTCCCTGGTCCTCATGTACCTTCTAGCACATTAAGCCTCCGGAAGTGCAGATCCGGATACAGAAATATCTTCACCCAGAAAGAATTAACATGTACACATATTTATACATGTACACACATACTCCCAGCGCACGACCACTCATACGCCGATGCTTTCCGAGTCGCTGTGAGAATAATTGGTTTCGCAGACTGAGGATAAATTACACATGTAATTAACATCACCTTCCTTTCTCCTCCTGCTGCATGCAAGCTCATCACGACAGGCGACGCCGCTCGTGAACCACCGCCAGTAACGCTTGCGGTCCAGCCGTACTCACATCAACACTCGCATCCTCGCATTCCCCCACCAGGCATAAAGTTGGCTACACGGTGGTAGCAAACATCTATAAGGCCGCAACTCAGCCCTACGTGTTGCCAAGGGCGCACATCGTGACACATTTATTGAGCACCTCACTCTTCCCCAGTGACATGCAACGGGGTTCGACGATGAGGCTTTTTTACACGGCATAGACCTGGAAGTTGCAGAAGGGCACTACTTCTGCCTCCTGCCTGTCGCTCCGCGACGCCACCATATCCTCACGTCCCTGACCACTTTTTTGGCTCTCTGGCCGCGCGGGCAGTAACTGCTGCTGATGCGATGATGTGCCTGCTGAAAGTGTGGAAGGCATGTGCTGCGTGCCGGTGGTGGTGGTGGCCTTTGAGTAGAGTTGCCGAATGGGCTGTTTCTCTGGCCTCCAGAGAAATATGGTTTCTTCGAATGGCGAGATCAGACTAGCCCCATCACTGTACGGGCCAGTGCCTAGAAACTCCCTCACTGGCAGCCTATCTTGTTGAGGCAAAGGCTGCGCAGGGGTTACTGCGGCCGGCGGGGTGAACTCTGCCAAATGCATCCAGTGGTCCTTGAAGGGTGCACATGGTGGCTGGTTGTCGTATAAAGCGCAGAGTGCATCAGCATCAAAGCAGGATTCGGGGGCCTTGGCCCATATCGACTCGCAGGCGAACAACCAGAGTGTGTGCACCTTCTTCAAATGCTGAAAAGACCGTTCCCTACCAGCGCAAGATGCACAGAAATGAATGCATCACTATGCACAGTTCCAGCATACCTGTCAATGCTGCACGCACGACTAACAGAGATGCATCGCGGCAGGACAACGAAAAGAATGCTTCTATATACAGCGTATGCAGCATGAAATGCCACAGGACCCACTTGAGTGCAAGCATGTTATTTGTGTTGCTTTTCCCTGCCATGACGTGGGTCACGCCAGGCTCGTCGAAACGTCTATACACTGTAGCGCCGAGACGTTGAGCGAGTTCTGCTTGCCTTTCTTCACAGTCAGCTACAGGACTGCCCGGTGCAAAAGACTTCCTGTACCCAGTAAGGAACAGGCCTACACCGGCCAGCGCTTGCGACTGAAACCCGCTTATGATTGTTCCCACGCTGAGAGCCACAGACCACCCGAACAGAAACACAACTCAGCGTCGCTATCACAGAATGAAATGAAGGAGACCCAAATGCTAAGCAGACGCGGTGTACTACTACACTCCGCATGCAGTCGCTCTGTGCTGCCATAAATAACGGCACCCCAATGAGCAACTCTACCCGTACACGTACAGCAAGCGCATCAGGTAACAGTGCACGGTAGATAAGAGTTGTTGTTCAACCGCAGACAGCAGCGAGCAGTTCAGTTGCAGTCAGCTGTGCTCTCTCTCCTCACTTTGCATTCCAAGGATCTTTGAAGAACTCCTGGTGAACCTTTAAAAAGATATTAATCATATGCTGCATGTGCCTATCCCAGTCATAAGGTCTAGACAAGTGTTTCATAGCGGCAGGCACCGGTGAAGGGCGTTCTAAGGCTGCGGCCCGTTGTCTCGGGTTTTCTGCTATTGCAGCTAACGTCTCCTCTAACGGCAAATGGGGGTAGTGGGCTAATAACTCAGGCCGCGATGAATCAAAGAAATCGTAGTGCTGCGCCTTGACCACGTGCGACACCGGCAAATCAGTCCAGATGTTCTGACGATCATCAAACGCCACCACGCAACGACGGTCCAGGTCCCCATACAAACACCTCACGGTTTTGTTTTCTGTCTGCTCGCCTCGGCCCGACGACTCGCGCGCTACAATGCTGCAACAAACGCACCCACAAACAGGCAATTGGAATGTCAGCAACGCTCGCACGAGCATCCTTCTACCGCTGAGCACCTGATGCATGAGCCGACGGAGAACATCACAGACACCAGGTGCTGCTTGCCATGCTTTACAAACAGCAGCAAGCACAGCGGCCCCAAAAGGAAGCCGGAACCAGCAGCAAGCGTGCACCCCTTAGAGCAACACTCGGCCAAATGACGATAGGCAGATACAGAAGTACGCGCGGGAAATTGCTCTCCACTGCACACCACCACAGCGATTCAGGTTAAGAGTAAAGCGCCTCGTCCCAAGCAGCAAAAACACCGCTTCTCCGTTGCTGGTGGCCACAAGATTAAGCCGCTTAAGAACGTAATCAGCAAATCAAAAAATCCCCACATGCATGCAGTGCCTCTCGGTGCCACGCAACCATTATCTAAATGCACCAGCAGTGGCGAGCGCCACAGTAATGCGCCCCCATATAAGCCATCGGCGAAAAGAACGAAAAGAGCCGCTGCATCAATATGCTGCTGCCTTCGTATCGTCTGAACTTCCTGCACGAGCAACCTTGCCCATCTGCTGTTGTTTTCACAGAGCCCGCAGTTGTGCAGATGCTGTAAAGGAAGCATATGAATCCCCCCGCAAACGCCGCTGATACCCCCGCCGTACGGACACGAGAATCGCTGCGCGTCGCCAGCTCAACACTGGCAGCGACGGCACGCTTTGCTTCCGCCTTAGCGTGCACCAGCCGGTTCGTTGTAGGCGTCGGCACCTGGCCGCGCCGTCTGCCAGCTGCGCACAAGCTGCAGCATGTTGCAGCAATTTTGTGCTCAGCGCGTCATTATTTTAGGCGAATGTCCAAGTAGCGAATGTTAAGGGCAGCAAAACCGTGGCGAGAACGTAGGTGTAAAGACAGCACAGGCCGGGACTTCTTTAAGCCGCATTGCCTTAAACACGACGAGATGTCCTGCTCCAGTGTACGGGCTGAGGTTGAAGGGGAAGGGCCGGAACAATCAAGCGAATCATGGTGTGCTGTTTGATGCTATTATCACCCCTTGATGAACTTAATAAGGCCGACACAGACAGCCGAAAAGCAACATCTGTGGCAAGACTGTCCTGCAGCATCACGAACTGTTGGCTGTTTTGTTTGCTGATCATCTGCGTGCTGAGTCACACGAGTGTCCTGCTGCCTTGCGTGAGCGGAACAGCGAACGCTGCTTCACCAAGCTGGTTTAGACAGGGCTCGTCGGTACCCGATGCACAACTAGTGTTGCTGCAACCAACGGCAACAGCCAGGGTTCTGCTACACTCGCGCAATGCAACGAGCCACCCCTCCATTAGATGAGGCGCATCCATATTAGTCGGTGTTATACGCGGAGTCGCGCCTGCAGTTTGCCTGCCCCGCGCACTTCACTTCCCCCTTCCCTTTCTACAAGCATCTTCGCACGCGAAACAGAACAGCAGCAGCTGCCGGACGCCAACAACCTGAGGCGTTTAACAATCCCTACCCCTGGCCACTGTCTTCCGACCGACGAAACAAATAATAATAACCACAAGCATACAAGCAGCACATCGCTCCACTCTACTCAACCGCCCCGTTGCGACGGCTGCTACCCGCGAAAGCATATGCAGCACTACACTTTTGGTTGCCCAACGCAAGTATATTTCCCCTTTCCCGCATGCATGCAAGGATAATGCATGCGCTTATTTCCGGGAGATGAACAGCGACCGTCCCCCCGCCGTTCAACTCGCAGGCGAGCAGCAGCATCTCCCCAAGAAACAGCCAAAGCAGCAGCTACTACACCATGAAAACCACGAGTTTACTGACGTGCATATTCACCTTCATTCAACGCACAAGCCACTACAATTCAACAGGATAGGGGGGCCGCGCGTTGGAAGTTGTGTAACGCAGAGAGTCGCAGACGTAGTTTTTGTGCGTTGAACACTACGAAGAAGTTTTCGGCTGTTCTGTTAGTTTCAAATGCATCCCTAGCCGCAAAGAAAGAAGAGCAGCAACAGCAACAGCAGCCACCACTAGTACACCACAGCCTACCGGTCTCCAAAGAGAGATCTGTCGGGGTCCAATATGGCCACCACCAGGTCGGCATACTCCTGCGTCGCATTTGTGTAAATGCTTAACTCGAAAACCGGAGCAAGTGCTTTAAGAAAGCGGCGCAGCCCCGGGCGCAACTTCAGGTAATAGACCTTGCGGTTGCAGGGCAATTCAAACTTATACACCTCCGGCAAACCATCCTCATCGAGCCAATCTTCCAAAGCTATTGTGTACCCTGCCACGCCAACGGCCTGTGCATGCAGCAACGTGTTGTCTAAATCTAAGAGCAACGGCAGCTTCCCTGAGAGCAACGGCTGTCGACGCAGCTCAGCAGGCAATGCGCTCGGGTCCCACTGCTTGGCCTGCTTCTGCTGGTACTGCTGCTGTCGCGTTTCCTGTGGCTCCTGCATTTCTTGCTGCGACTGCTGTGGCGGCTCTGAATTTTCAGGTTGCTGCACGTTCTGTACTACTTCTTGGTGCTGCTGCTGCACGCCCGTCTCAGCACGTGCCCTCGCTGCTAACCTGGGATCCCTTCTCGCTGTATTCGGTGCTGCCATTGGTTGCTGCTGCTGCATTGCAGGCGTAGGCGCCACCACGCCTTGCTTTTGCAGCTGCGATGCGTCTATACCAGCAGGGGGCTGCGGAGCAGCAGCAGGGCAGGCGCTGCTGCCGCTAACGGCGGCACTCCCCTGCAGCCCGGGAACAGCACTTGCACTGCGTTGCTGCTGCTGCTGCCCCCCTTGCGAGGTATGCTGCGTCAACTGAACCGCTGGTGCTTCCTCGTCCACCTCTCCCTCTTCAACTTGAGACACTTCACTCATTTCATCAGCCTCAAGGGCCACTGCCTGAGATCGCTGCGGCCCGTTGGGCACCTGCATCTCTTGAACGCCATCGTCACCCCTGACGCCTCTAGCTCCTCCTCCTGGGGAAAGAGGCTGTAAGACTGCGCCTGCAGGAGCTGGTGGCGCCTCAGGCAGCCGCACAAGCTTACATACTTCATTGTAAGCTACGCAGAAACGCCTAGGGCATATTTTGCCCGTATAGTAATCAATGAGCTGATCTGCATAGATGCTGCAGCACACCGTAGGAGGAGGCATGCAGGCGCCCAGGGGGGCCGAGCAATGGGGGATCGGCCCCCCACCACCACCGACAACAGCACCCTCAACACCCCTCCCTCCCATAACAACTTGCTGCCCGCCCCCAACCACAGGCACTGGCGCCGCCGCCCCGTGGGGGCCAAGCACAGCTCGTGGCTCGTACGGAGCAGTTCTCTCCTTACGGAAGCCCTGACCTTGCTGGCGGCGCCTGTGCGGCGGAGGAGGGTGCGTAGGCAGCACAGACCCATGTGGTGGTTCTGCCTCCCTTTCTGGGCGAGCGCGGGGCTCTCGGGGGTTATAGTGGCGCGTGTCCAGCCCAGAGACTAACCCAGGGCCACTCTTCCACTGCTGCTGATGATGCGACTCAGCAACGGCAGCCCGCTGGGCCCCCCGCCACCCTCCGCCACCGCGGCCCCTGCCCCGGCCCCTGAAAGCATCCCTCATCAGTTCAACAGGTATTACGTGCAGCTATCTTTACGTTCGACCTAGAAAGCGTGTAAGCAACCCGAAATCTATGCAACAGCTAATAAAGATTGCCCTCCAATCCCTGCACACTAAGTGCTGCCAGGCCGCGCGCAAGCGCAGGAGCCCGCTACAGTGCAGGAAGCGCCCGGCGGGCTGCTTTCACACAAACCCGTTCGTCTCTGCTGCATAACAACTTCCTAATTATTTCATAATTTCAAAGATTGCCTTCATCTGAGTGTAAACGGGACGAAAGCTGCCCCATTGCCCTTCCGCCTGCAGGCCGGTGCGTGTGCCTCAGCCAACAGCCCCGCAGGCTGCTGCGGTGTAGTGTACAGTGGTGGCATGCGAGTTGGCAATCTGGAGCATTTATTTAAACAGCAATCGGATTTCACAGTTCTCTTCTAATAGATATGAATAAAAGTGATGAGTGAAGCGGGGTATCCAGACGATCGTGTTTCGCGATCAAGCGAAATTCTCTGCGATGGGCTACGTGGCAGCTTCGCACCAGAGTTGTGACCTGCGTGCAGGTTGGTTAATGAGGGAGGATGAAATCCTTGGAAATTGTCTATGGTGATGGTTCATGCAGCAAAAAGGGGACTGGATGATTGCATGTAGGGTTGTCTTGCAGCGGGAGTTGCACTACGCTGCCTTACAACGCGTGGTCGTGGCGAGACTCCTTGACCTTAGCCGAGGACAGTCGTGAGTCGTAACAAAATCAAAATACTGTATGTAAATACAGTTCGCCAAAAGCAGATGGCTTCCTCTCCAGTCTGCAAGTGCCCTGGGCACTGTGGCACAGGGGTTAATGCCGGGGGAGGCGGCCTGTTTGAACTCTTGCTGCAAGACAACTCCAAATGCAGGGTTCCTAAGCCCAACTTTCGTGAGTGCACTAAGACTGTAGACGATCGTCAAGCACTGCCTTATTCCTCAGTAGCAGCGCTTCGCTCAAGTGGAAATACACGTACTAACTCCTGGCAGGCATTCCTGCATTTGCCCCCCTTCTCTCCCCAAACAGCAACCTTTGTCGTCCCGGATGTCCAGCCCTGGATGAGTGGAATCAGTCGGGGGAAGAAGGTCTCGGGAGGTGGCAGAGCACCGAACACGGGCCAGGAGAAACTAGGTGGAAAAGAGTAGAGGCCTCTGACGGTGCTGCCTAATTTTGCTGCTGCTGCGGCACGCCTGCATGCCACTTCAGCGCAGCTGCCCATTACCTTAGACAGTGGCCATTTAGGGAGCTCTGCGTTTTGTGTATTCTTTGGAAGCCCGGTTCTAATGCGGGAAGGGCCTCCGACACGCAAAATCAAACCATACGCGAGGCGTAGTTGCCAGCATCTCTCAAAAAAATGATCCGAGAAACAAAGTATGACAAAAATGGAACTGTTGTCCGGGGCAGCGCGGAGCTATACCTATGAGGGCGGAGGGGCGTTTTTCACTAGAGGAATATACTAGTAGCCGGAGAAATAAAAAGACTTGGGAATCTTATGCATGTAGCAATGCACTTATCTGCAAAAAGAATGTAGGCCGCCCAGCTTTAAAGCTGCCCTGTGCACGTCTACCCTCCAGGCAACCCCGCCGTTTTTATGAGGGTGCATAGTGTTCTTCACGAGTTGCTCCGCACAAACGAACCTGGAAACGCCACTCAGTGTGTCACCCCCTGCCACTTAAAGTAATACCGTCGTTCTCCGTGACCCGTACGCACCGTTACATGTTTGTGCAGGTCGCCTGTTGCCTCCTGTGTTCCCGCCCACAATGGCGTGGCTGTCGTTGTGTGTGAAGAGTTCGGAGGAACTGTGGTGATTCCATCTGAGGTCTAGCAAAGCGGCATTAACGCGATGTTGTCAGCACTATGTTGAAGGTGTTAGTCGCGTGGTGGCATTTCCACGTTGGGGGTTAGTCGACGATGCAGGCCAAGTCATTGATCCGACAACGAAGAGCAAAGAGCCCCACCTAACTCCTAGTAAAATTCTTGTGCTGCTTATCACTTCGCACCGACCTCGCGAACCCACAAACTCAATGTAGTCAACTGCTAAGAAAAGTTTCCAAGGGTTCTCTTCCGGAATTTTTCGTCGGGAATCCCTGTACTTCGTTTGTACATTCCCGAGTTACTGTAAGCTGTGAGTGGAAGCCTGCAGCTACAGGCGTACGGGGCTAGCTGCCAATAAACAGTTCTAGACTCTATCCGCTACGACAAAAAAGCTTTAGCACCCTCAGATTGACGGCAATTCCAGTATGAACTCTGTCGAGCTATTCGTCCATAGCAGCTGGGGGATCAGAGGACCCTACAAGAGTCTGGCTTGAGAAGTTCAGTGGCTTTTTTTGTTCATGACGTTCCTGAGAAGTGAAGATATTTCTTTGGGTGAAGGTAGAACCTTTGGAGACCCAACGGACCTTTGTTGTATTGACCTCACCATAGTTCGCAAAAGTATGATCGTGCATTTTGAGTTGTCAGGCTTGAACGGTGGAACTCCTGCAACGTAAGTAATGTCGAAGGTTCTTTGTTCCGCACCAGACCGCGTACAGCGCTGGGCATACAGGCACAAGGCCCTAGGGCTGGCGAAAAGGGAAGGTAGCCTGCGCCTACTGCAAGGCAGCATCACACGGAAGCATACCCAATCCCTGTATTGGTGCATTGGCCCACTCCGTAGACATTTGTAAAACGTCTACGTGCCCCACACTGGCCAACTTGCATTCAACCAGAAGTACATGCTTCAGTTTCAGATATACCACGCTACACGCATTAGGAAGTGCTGCAATTCAAGACTGGCCGCCTCCTCCTCAGTCCCAGGTCTGCAAGACGCTGCGCAGTGGGTGTCCGAATAAAAAATCAGCTTCCATTTGGGGTTAGTAATATGGGTGTGTCAATATTATTGCAGCTCATGGCTGTCCTCAGGTAAGATCAAAGACTCTCGGTGCACACAGTACACGAAACCAAACACACTGACGAGATTGCCTGGTTTATATCACTGGGTAGTCTAGAACGTGCTGTGCCAGAACAAAAACAAAAACCTTAAGGAATTGTGTTTGTAATATCTATCAAATGCGTATTTTTGCCCCCAGATGAAGAAGAAAGTTTATCAGGTTCTGCTCTCCGTCGGGGAGGCGGCCAACGGTTGAGCGCCTCAACGCTTACAAAAAAGCACGGTCTCCGCAGGCTCTCCACCAGAAGGTGTTTTAACGGAAGAAACGATTAATGAACAATGTATCGTCTTTTGCACAAAGTCTGAGCATGACGGGAGGCCCAATGCGGGAGCACTGAACAAATTCCTAACATCTGTAGTTGCACACTTCCTGCGTCAAAGGGCAGTTGCTACTATCATTTTTTCGATGAAAACCTACACGGCAATGGCGGCTCCACCTAAGCAAGGGTGAGATCACTCCGGGAGGCACTCGTTCCTCTATTTTGAGAGGAGCGTTTTAAGCATCGGCTGAAGGTGACGGCGTGGAGTTACTTTTTCCCGAATCGCTCTGATCAGTTGGAGAGTCGTTTGGCAATACTTCTTCTGCAATAAAAAGATAGAGTAAATCCATGCTGCAACTATCACGGCCTTCATCTGAGGCTTGCAGAACCACTTGGCAGCGAAGTAGGAACTTAACGACGTTCAATCCAGTAAGGGCTCCATACAGTGTTTACACACCGAACACACCAATTATTAAGAAGGGCAAGCCAATGGGACTAAAAACAAACAAATTGAGAACCGAAACGGTCAAGTTCCTTGGAAGTAGAAACGTCCAAATTATGTTTTCGAAAGTAAGGCTGTCCGCTTTCAAGCTTACTGCGAGGAAGGGAACATCACAAGCACGCACTCAGAAGACTACAGGAAGTCACCTAGTACGGCATCCAAGAGTGGGAACGAAATGCCTTTCGTCCAAAACAGCACTTCGTACAGAAAAACTGCTTTTATAGACGCTTGTCTTCATCGCATGGGGGAGTCCCAATGCGCAACAGTTGGCCACAGCCGGCCTAAGCGTCGCGCCCCATCGAATTGGCTTCCCCACTCCACCTTTTCAATAAGTGCGTGTGCGGATTAAAGAACCATTATAATTGGTCACTTGTACTGTCAAATAACCACTAGCCGAACAAGCGTTGCTTGCTATCGTAACGACTGCGTGGTTACCAAACATGTTCGAACACGTTTTCACGTGATCGCCAGTAAAATGGGCGAGGCGAGCATATTTTGAAATGCGTTTGGTAACCAGTCAGTCGTTACATACACAGTGTCTAAAGACGCTTTTGAAGTCATCGTTAGAGTTAGAATATTGTTCTGCAGTACGACACACAACGAGCACAGCGGGACCCTACGCAGTGTGTCCACCAGCAGGCAGAGGTCACCTTACACAGACTTGCATAAGATGATGGCTCCTAGAGAATGTTTTCGGTGTCTTTTTTCCCGAGAATATATACCAGATTCCCCCCATGCGTTTACCAGCAAAAATATCTCCCAGTGTCGATGCATGCAGCGAGGGCCCCATCGACCGCCCCACCTGTCCTGGGGCTGACTCGTGGCGAAAGCTTTACAAAAGATGAGTGGCTGGTAGAAGATATAATTTGTCGCCCTCTCCCCTGTCGACAATGCCCTTCTTTGCCTTCTTACGATGCGGCGGTCACTCCTCAGCAGGCCGCCGCCAGTGCCGGGGAGAGTCGGCCTTCGATGCTCGCCTGCCGTGCACATCAGCGGTTCCTTTCAGAAGTGATGATTGTCCTTCTGTTGCTCGCTGCGCGGAGAAGGGCTCCGGGTTTCTGGGAGTTCCTGGCTTGAGCTTCTTTGGCTCAAAGGAGTCGCAGGCGCCAGCGGGCGATGATTCGAACGCAGCGGACATGCGGAAAAAAGTGCTTCAAGATGCAGTGGCGAGGGAGAATGAGGAGGCCCCAGAACCTGCAAAGAAGCCACAGTCAGACAACTCTGGTCTTTTCAAAAAACCCTCAATGCAGAGTGCACTTGAGCCAACTGGAGATCCGAGCAGTAGCGTGCTGGTTGCAAGTCTGCATCCTTGCCTTTGCCTGTTTTCTAGTTCAGTTCGCTTCATGCAATTGCCGACGCACAGCTCTTCATGAAAGCTGCTTGTCTTGCATGTATCGGCACTTCTACTTCAAGTCTCTTCGTGCAGTTACCGACGCAGGGTGTTGCTTCTCGTGCGTTTGTTTCTGTCTGCAGGCTCACGCAGCCGATCCCTTTCGAGCAGTTTTCTCGGGAGTGGATGAACATCTCTGGTCAAGACACATTTGATGGCTTTCGTTTAGAAGGTGCAAAGCAGGTACATGGTGTCATTTGTTTTGTTTCTTTTCTGGAACTAACGCTGTGTTTTCATGCTGGCGTTGAGTCGGTCATACAGAGCTCGTGTTGTGTTCACATCGCAGGTAAATAAGTACCTTCAAACCTGCCATAGCTTCTGCCTTGGCACACAGTTACGGGAATCGGGGTATTCGTATCAGTTTGGCCCGACGTTGGCGATATCAGCTCCACCAGATCCGAGCCAAGGAGAAAACGCGCAGCCTTCCCCGCCTCATTTCTTTGCAATGGCAAAGCTCGGTACAGACGGATCGCTTCAAGGCAGGTAAGGCAACTTTGCTGTAAAATAGCAATTTGTGCTCTCTCTATGCTAATATCGGGGGGCTGAGGAGCCGAAAGAGTGCATGCATCGAACAAAACAGCAGCGGCACAGCTGCAGAGGACAGATGCAGGTTTGGGATAAGCACGCACTCTTTGATTGCTGTAGACTCATCAAGACCCTCTGCCAGAGCGCGGACCTCAAGTTGAACTTCAACTCGTCGCTCAAAGACGACCAACGGAATTTTTATGAAATTTCTCTCGATAACACAGGCCGGGACTGGGCCTCGTCCCTGAAGCTTGCTTGGCAGTGTACGCGACGGCGAACTATTTGCTTTTTTTAAATTTGCGTAGCCTTGATGCTGCAGTGTGGCAGACAAGCAATTCATTTTGTAGCTGCCGATTTCGCATGGGGTTTGTCATCAGTTGAGGGAGAGAAAATCATAGATGGGTTGTTCCTCTTTGTGGCGTTGATTACAGCTTGTTGGATTCTTGACGGAATGTTTTCACAAGTATTGACTCCAAAGCTGCAGGCCGGTTGCGAGATAACTTACGTGGTAAGTGCATCACCCTAGGTGCTCGCCTGTTCGCACTCCACTGTATTTGTGGCAGCAGAGTTGATGACTTCCCCTTTTCAGTTCCCGTTGCACGCGGAGTGGTCTTCGGTACAGGGTGCGAATGGCGCGTCGATGTTGGCAGTCGGGGGGCGCTACAATCTGGACAAGCAATCTGTTGTTTCATGTAAGCTGTATTCCCTTAAAAATCGTGTTTTAGTGTCCTTCGCGGATGTATTTGGCGAGAGACACAAAATGGGAGTAGCGGCTGCGTCAGGCCTATCAACATAGGGCAGCAGGATGTGAGTACTTCTTACAGAAATGACGAACTTATCTTAAGAAGGCAAGCTCGTTTTACAGGAGAGCTTACCTCGAATGCTTTTTGGATGCCTCTCTTCTTGCCTTTGCCCTGTGGCAGGCCAGCTGAGTCAACAACCAGATTTCAAGTCCCCTACGGGTCTAACGAAGCTTACACACAGTTGCAAAGTGCAGTACGCTAGAAAGGTACGGGAGCAACAATACTCATTTTTGCGGGCGAAGCACCTTTGATTTTGTTGCGTTTGTGAATCCGCGGAAACGTAGGTTGGCGCCAAGGGAATATGAATTTCACTTGTGAACTGCTTGGGAAGGTGAATTTGTTTGCAGGTTACTGACCGGCTGTCTATGGCAACCGAGTACGAGTATAGCCATCCGGAGACGGAATCAGCTCTGAGGCTGGTGCGTTTGTCTCTTAAAGTAATCGGCATTGAAGAAATCGCCACCTAGGCATATTGGACCAATGACGCATAGCGGCATTGAGGTGAATGGCGTGCTCTTGCCCAAACGGTAGTTTTGTCAATGCGATCCAATACTTGTCGACTTTCTTTGCTCAGGGATGGGAGTATCTCTTTCGGCAGGCTCGGGTGCAGGGCCTTATAGACACCGGCGGGCGCATTTCTGTCTTCGCGCAAGACTATAACGGATTCGGCGTAAGCGGGCTTATAGACTACTGGCGGGGCACATATAAATTTGGATTCCTGATGCACGTAGTACCCCCGCCAGACGGGCCACCACCGCAGTCAAGCTGACCGCTCTCCCCGAGTGGGCTCCACCGCGTCGTTGTGTTCGTTTACTCGGAAGGGGGAAAATCCTCTGCAGGAGCACTTCTCAACTCACTCTCCAGACCTCTGCTCTCTATCTGCTCTAGCTGAATTCTGTTGAATAGTTATTCAACTCCCTTGCTCCCGTCGTTGGTAAAGCATAATAAGCCCTAGCATACAAAATAGGCCTGGTGTCTGGCACAGCTAGTTATTTTCTAGACTGAAGCAAATGAAGCAAAAAATCATGGCGTGGGGGAGTGCTCCACGAATTACAGCGCATATGAGCTATGCCGCTTGCCGCAACTTCGTCAATTAAACGGGAACGGAACGGAGTCTCATAAAATGCTACGGCAATTCGCATAAAGTTCAAATGCGAGCCGTCGTCAACAAGTCTCCATGGAGATAATTCCGGAAACGAACAAGACGGCGAATACACAAGAAAGCAATCAAGCAATGCGAGGTTTGCTTAATTGCTCTACGCCAAGCTATCCCCACCAACGACTTCGGCAGGCTGTGGCAGGGAGTTCCCCGCTGGTGTGACATCCAGCGGGCTGGGCGGGTTTGGTGGGATGCTCACCTGTTCACCGCTGCCTACCAACCCGCTCTCTCCCACCGGCGCAGCAGTTCCAAGTCTACCTATGCTTCCAAGTCCACGCTCGCCAAGTCCCCTAAGCAGTAGCACACCTGCTGAAGCTGCTGCCGCAGCCTTTAGTAGTAGCTTCTTGAGGCCGCTTGAGGTACTCTTATCTCTGGAATAGCATGGCTCCTTCGGAAGCTGAGGCCTATCGCCGTTTTCTCCCTCTTCAGCTCCAGCTACTTGGGCCTTTGAGGGATCGTTCCCAGTGGCACTGCCCACGACTGGGTCGTCTGCACCACTAGATGGACTCTCCAGAACGGTGACTCCCTCCGGTTGCATGCTGTCCAACGAAGCGATAGCAGGCCCGTCAGCTTGCAAATGGCCCACTGGACTGGTCTCCTCGACTCCCGGAGCAGTGGGACCTGGGGAGCCGCGTAGGCCTGAAACATCACGTCCTGCAAGCGACTGAAGCACGGTGACAACTGCTGCGGCCGCTGTGGAAAGCTGACCCACCGCCTGTTTCACCCTGTGCCACCACGGCGCAGGCTTCGCAAAGCACGGCTCGCTGGGGAGACGAGGCTCCTCACCGACCTCTTCATCTCGGGATAGTCCAACGTCTGATTGCCCCACCTCCCCGCGAGCTGGCTGTTCATTTCCCGCCTCACTCCCATCAACAGTAGAAGCAGACGGAGCACCCCCTCGGAGGCTTGCCGATGGCTGATCCATCCTGCGAAAAGAATAAGTTCTTGGAGATGCCGCTCCTGCTTTCAAAAATACAGTGGTAAAAATCAAGGTGAATATATTAAAAAATGCAACCGCTCTGTAGAGGCGTCAGCCTTAGGCGTTGGTGGGCGCTCACATTCGTCAGACAGGAAGCGGCGCTGAGAGTGCTCGTCGATTCGCTTTCGAGACAGAGAGCGAGGGGCCGGTAGCACGACTGCGCAGAAACAGGACTAAGGTAGTACTTTCTTGCAGAAATGTTAATTAAATAGCATTGACTTTGAGAATGCACTGAAGTTTCCTCTTTGTGGGCTCTGTTGGCTCAGTTGTAACACACAAGTATTCTGCTTGACGAGTAGGAGGTCGGAGCCCTTGTTTCAGGGATGTTCAAACTAGCCGCTGGCTCGAGAGGTCCCCAAAGTTTATTTAATAACATAGGTGTGTGTGATACTTATCAATTTGATGATTATTATTGTCAGTATCCCCTTTCGGTTATGCTGTTTATTGTTGCCCGAGTCAGCCGGCTCGAATTCGGGGTGGTCCTCGTGGTCTTGTTCCCTCTGGTGCACGTTTGTTTCCGTGTGCTTCCTTATTTTCCCAGCTAAGCCACTCTATTTTTATGCTTTTGCAGTTTTTTTTCTTGCAAGGGCCTCAATTTGGCTTACTCGCCCCCCACTGTCCTTGCCACATGTTCTGCGATGTTAAAGTTTCGCCGCCGTGCAGGTGTTTGACTTATTTATTCACGTTTATCTCCTCGACATCCTTCTCGCAGTCCTTAACAGGCCGGTAAAAATAGTCAACTTGCGGTCTCGATGCTTCCAAGCCGCCTTTCGCACTTGCAGCGCTGCAATCTCTGCCTTGTCGCCGAGTCCCTTTTTTTTGTCCTTGATTTCTCGCTGTTGTCCCGGTTAAGTACTGCAGATAATTTTTTCATTCTTTCTACTTGTTAGCAAATGTTTGAATCTCGTTAGTTTTATCAGCTCGCTCTGTTCGTAGTGGAGCAACGGCTACCCTGTCTACACTGAATTGGCTGCGCGTTCGCATGCTCAGACACCGCTCCGTTGATGGGGCGACGAAGCGCAGTGACATGTTCTTGTGACGCATCCCTACACCCTTGAAGGTTTATTTTATTTTACACGTTCTTGTTATCGTGGAAGACAGGAGCAGGAATGGCCTCTGCGAGCTCATACAAGCGTCCGTATTGCAAGCTCACACAAATGGTGTTTTATACAAGGTTTAGCCCTACCTAAAAAGTGGATCTCAGCAATCTTAGTCATCGAGCAGAGATTTTTTATTCGAGTGCAAAACCACCAATACGCCCGTTGATTGCTTCCAGCAGCTATCCCGTCTCCTTGTTTACTGTAAGGAGGCTGCCCCTCCCGCGACATATAATCGGCTCAAGGCGTGTGTTTAACCTGAATTTCCTTCTACTTTCACACTTATTTCACGCAAATGCGGAAGGCTGATGCGAAGAGAGTCATCGAGCTCTGCCGTAATGAGCTGCGATAAAAACCGAAATATTTGATATAAATATATTAATTATCATTGATAAGCAGTTTGAATAACCTCCTTTGTAATTTCCAGGCTTCCTGTGCACAGCGGCACAGCAAAGGCCTGACGCTGATGAGGATGCAAAGCAGGCAGAATGGGAGAGAAGAGATTCTGTCATGAGTAGCAGCACAGCTTGCTCCAACCCCTGAAAGGAGCAACCCAGGAGCAAGCATACCAAAGCCATTTTGGATGGATGCTTTAGGGCTGCCAAATTTTAGGCATTTCCTTGACCTTCAGTATCCAACCGGCGTGCAAATATAATTACGTACAATACTATAAAGGAGCACTCTACGACGCTGCAGCTCACATCTGCTGCTCACGTCTTCCGGAGGCCAGATACCTATTACCATTACGCACTTTGTGGTTCATTTTAGTACTTGACTCGTGCACGAATTCCTTAGGAGGTGCAGCACATGCAGGCTGAAGTATACGTACGGATTAAAAATATAGCCATTATTCCAATACTGCCATTTTATACCTCAAACTGCGGAAGCCTGCGAGATATAGGAGCAGCATGCGAATGCTGCTCTACGCTCAAGAGCCGCTGACTGTCCCTTGTGGCAGCAATATCTGTTTTCTTCCCTGAGAAAATATATATATATATATATACTCGCGAAAGAACAGAGAAAGAGATGCTGGTTCACTAGCGGCATCAGTAGCCCAAAGGAGTGCAGACGGGAGACATAAGTACTAGGCAGTCTCGTGCAGCTCTTCGTTGGCGTTGGCCTCACACCTCAGCTTTTAATTATGTTAATTTGCGTATAATTTGTTTTAGCAAGTAAAAGTGCTCAGAAGTCCATCCATTCGGCATAGTTTCACCCTTTTTGCAGAGCTGCTTGAGGATTTGTCAACTGCCCGGCAATCGACTCCGCGCTGTGGCTTGGGCGAATGGCAAGGCCCCCAACGCCACCTCCCGTAAGGAAAGATTCTGGATAAAAATTGAATTTTGCTGTATGAAGTCTCATATTCAGGAGTTTTAGTGGCTGACACAGCTAGCAGCCTTGGCAGCCGCGGCCGTTGAGGCACTTCGCAGCTTGCAGGTGGCAGCTGCAAGGAGTGTACCAGAGGCCTCGCCAGCGTCGATTTTTTCATTAAACGGAAATTCTGGGGAATCTTCAATGATCCTGTCTGCCGCCATCCACAGACTAGCGACGCACGCGGCCTTAGCCAGACACGCCTTGAACAACGTGGGGGGTTGTGTTCCTGTTCAGCTGCAACAACGCAGATATCTGGCTGGCCGTGCAACCCGTCGCAACTACCGGCGTGGAGATGAAGAGCACGACCAGAAACAGCAATGCCAAAAGTCGAGCGTTTCCGGGCGACAGGGAGGTGGACAGCATGTATGCGCAGAGGCGCGCTCAGTGGTCGACCGCGTCCTAGAAGTGAGGAAACTAGCCCTCCCCGCTGCTTGTAATATGTATGCCTGATTCCATGTTGGCCTCTGGTTGAATCGCGTTGGAGTATGTCTGCCTTCGGTTGAATTGCGTTGGAGCCCAGGTTGTTTCTGTTGAAATTGGTGCAGGCGAGCCAACGGGACCCAGATTCGCTCTGTGGGAGTTCCTTCTGGGCGTCGCAGCGAGAAGAAGTGATGAGCAGTGTGAAGGAGGGGAAGCTCTCTCTGGCCACGGCCGCAGTGCTGGTGGCTGCCTTTTCTAAAGCAGGCGAACTGACCGGGCCCCTCGCGACAGCAGTTGCAAAACGGTTGTGCACTGGTTTCAGAGCTGCGGCTCGAGGAGGTGTCAGCCCTCTTCTCTTAAGGGAGGAATGCGTTCCTCTTGAGGAGGGATTGGCAAAAGGGACAGGAGAAACAGACTTCCGAGTTCATTTTTCTGACGGCGCGACGGTCCTGCTCGCCATGAAAGAAGCAGGCCTCCTGCAAGACCCTTGTGCTGGTGTTGCTGCTCGAGACCTACAAGAAGCGTTGCTGCTGTGTGTGCAGCCTCAGTGGAACTGTATGACATTCATGCAGTTGCGCCGTCTGTTTTTGCTCCTGGGGGCCACTGCGGAGCCTTTAGGGCTCGACATGGCAACCGCACGAGAGCTGCTGACAGCAGCAAAGCGGCACCTCAGGAAAATGCAGAAGTCGTCAGGTCGGCTCTTCGAGGAAGGCGACGCCCGCGACACCATTGTGTTGGTCTGGCCTCTGGCCACCATTTCTGCAGCCTTGGGAATTCCGGCGCCGCAAATCAGCAGCAGCTTTGACGCTAGCCTAAGCTCGCTTGCGTGCAGCAGCTGCAGCAATGAAGATATGAAAATGCTGCAAAGAGACAGAGATATTGTGCTGCAGCTCGTTAGAACGCAGGTCTATCGTGCTGTATCCTCGCGGTTGCCATGCACTCCTTTCGACCTTGCACTCGTCAGTTAGATTTAAGCCCGTTTCACTGCTGCCACTGCTACTGTCGACGGTGTTGTGAGTTTCGCTGCTCTCTTTTTCTCCGTAAAATGGCCTTTCATGAATGATGAGTAGGTGAACTGGTGCACGCGAACAAATACTAGCACTTTTGGGCTGTCTTTGTTTGCCGCTTGTTCAGGGCTTTGCTGGCTTGCAGCGACTGGGGCAGCAAAAGTGCGCCGAATATGTTTTGGCAGCTTTCTCTGCAGCAGCTGCTGCTGCGAGTTGCGAGGAGCTCTGTCGTCTAGGCCGAGACATTCTGTTGGCCGGTGCTCACCAGAAGGCTCTGTGGGAGGCTTTCGCCGATGCAATACAGACGGTTGCTGAACAGCGGCAGCAAACACTGCCGTGTACACAGCATAGCAACTGTTCTCACGAAATCGAAGCTGCGCTGTCTCAGTGGCTGCGATTTTGTGGTCGGACTATCAAAGCACATCAAACCTGAGTCAACTTCTTGCTTAACTTGCAAAGTAAGCACTTTCTGCACACACTAGCTGCGAACCTAAAAGATAACATGCGGTTGAATGCGAAATGCAAAAGAAGACGGTTTGAGACGCCTGTACGCACTTAAGCTCGAGGCAGCTACTGCGACGGGAGACCGTCTGGCATATCCGTTAAATGAATAAGATGGATTTTTGTTCCATGAGCAAGGGTAGAATTACGGGTCCAGTTGCAGTCAAATGCCCAGCGCATCAATGCACCAACTATTCATGCTGGCTGAGCTGAGCTCCTCCGCCATTGCTTTCCAGTCCAGTGCATACACTCCGATGTCAAAAAAGGCTGTAGGAAACACGGCTTTTCATCGAGGTTATCAAGCTAATGCGCAGGGAAGACACCGTAAGTTGCAGTGCGAATTCCAAAAGGCAACACCTTGTTTGGCGAACTGCGCCGTGTAAAAAGGGTCGTAGGCCTTCTGCAATGGGAGGCGAGGGTGGCTACCAAGGGTTAGTGTTCCTTTGTTCACTGAACTCAGAGCAGGAACCTTCAGTACACAGAGGCCCTAGGAAATTGGACCATTGACTGCATGGCTGTGGGAGGATCAGTGAAAACAGGAAAGCGCATTGATGGCTTTGAGAGGCAGCTGGCTCAGTGGTGGATGTAGCTGCAGAGTGAATTGCCTTGATTAGTAATTGAGGGGGATGACATTGAAGACTGGGTTTGAGATGTTCACAGGAACTGGATGCTACTATGACCCGATGTACATGGCCGGCGCATTGCGAAGAGGATCTGCATTGCAATAGTTTATTGGTTCTTTTTTCTGCCTCCAGGCCGGTAGGAAGATGCAGAGAATGCCACCAATTATAAATTTAGTGAGAGCGAACAGCCTTGGTATCGAATAAAGTTGCGTTTTTTATGGCTGCGCCCTTCATTTTGGAATGCCAATGCCCACCTAGCCTTTCCCACATGCGCTGGGTTGCCTGAGGAGTTCTATTTGTACAAATACTTGCTGCGATGCATTTAAATAACAAATGAGTGAAGAGTTTTTACCGCCTGACAAGGCGGCCGTTGCTAGAATCAGAGGAAGCGTTTGAAGTGGTACTTTTCGACATCATGTAACTCCATCTCCTCCGCAGTTAGTCGACTCTGACACGAGCAATTTCATTACCTTGAGGACACAAATGCTAGATAAGCGCCGAACAGTCGCAAGAGTGCGTGCTGCAGCAGGTTAAGTTCGATTGAGGGGCCTGCTTGCTCCTCAACACCTTCGGCAGTGACCATAGCTTCGAGTTCTTCAGAGACGTCGTAATCTCGTTCTGAGAGCATGCAAACTCTACGTGGATACATCACGGCATTCCTTGGAGAGAGGGAAGCCAACATGCATCGTTCAGAAGTGCAGGAACTTAGGCCTGACCTGCACGCCCTCAAGACGAGCGACAGTGCCATTCCATGTTTCCTTGAGGTACGAAAGCAACCCAACGTTGCAGAGGACGGCAAAGCTGTTCACACCTAGACTGGTACGTGACTGCACCCCTAGGAGACCACTCAGAAGTGAACACAGCGATGAGGCTTTTGCCCCCAATATACATCAAAACCCCTATAACCGCAGATCGGAACCTAAGCAGCTGTAGGTGCACGTATTCAATTGTTTTGGGGCCTTCTTTGCTGTATGCAGCCGGCCTTTGGCTTACTCATTAGATTGACAGAGGAGCGGGCCTTTCCAATTTCACTGGACAATTGTTGCAGCGCCTGACACAGAAGAAAATGCCACACGATTGCAAGCGAACCATGTTAGTGGAAGTGTTCGGTTCTGCAGGTGAAGAGTGCGTCCACTGTTTCTGAGAAGCAGATATTCATACCTTTTCGTGCTCTTGCTGAAGCGCGATAAATGCGAAGTTCAAACCGTCCCGCTGTACAGCCCCCATCATCAAGACAGACTTTTAAGCTAAGGCGACGCAGTCCGACAAGTGCAGGACACCGGAGCAAAAGGACTACCAAAGCGAAGTGCAGAACTATTGAGACGTACCTGCCAGCGCGGGAGTCTGGCACTTGACAACAAAGTGGAAAGCTCCTCAAATAATTCTCGATGTCTGCGGATGTAGTCGCACGCCATCCCCAGACTACACGAAGCGTCTCAGTAGCTGCTCCCCAGTAAAATCGTTTTGAATTTGGCAGATTTGGCATGCGTCTACCAGTTGCCTGTGGTTTGCGCACTGCTGGGCAAGACGCTGGTAGCTTTCCATCCACTTTTCTTTGTCTTCAGGGACACCTGTTGGTGCAGTTGATGTGTTTCGCGCAACTCCTATGTCAACCATCACAAACCAAGCCACGCCGTCACACAGGAGCACGGCAAGAGTAATCCGGACTATGAATTTTCTCGTTGGTCTCATAGTTTACTAAAGCTACTGCGTGAACACATTTTGCCCGCTTGAAGGCCTATAAAACTTGGGCAAACCCGCTTTTACAAATTGCCACCCCAATGCAGAAAATGTCCACTGCGCCTTGCATGGCCCATGAATTTGTTCACGAAATTTGCGCCAACTGGTTTACCACTTCACAGCATAGTACATAATGACGTTGGGGACCGGGTGTCGCACCGTTAGGCAGCTGTTTGGGTGCGGATCCGATTTCAGAAAGCTGCCCTGGATCTTCGACTGAACTACTCTCTCCATGTGGTGGAGGAGCAACTCCGCAGCTCGCTTCTTTGCAGTCTCTGAATACGATAGGAGGTTGCTGTATATCCGGGTTTTTTCGCATCTCCATTGAGAGTGCACCTACTTCACCTTCTCTAAGCCTCTGCTGTTGGGGCGTTTGTGCGGCTTGGGAGTCTCTACAGTCTACCCAAACAACGCTGATGCGTGCACTCTGAGGGGGTAGGGCTCTGTTTAAAGGAGAACCGCCCGCCGGGGGGCTGCTAACAGCCTCACGGTTTGACCGTGGAACCTGACCATGCACTAAGCAGGTGCTTGCCATGCATGCAACAATATGAGAGGCCATCCTCTCGGCAACCTTTTGTTTCAGGCAAACCACCGATGACTGTAGAGGTCCAATGCACCCAAATAGCCGCCTTACTTCCTCCCGCACTTTGAACAACCGCTGCAGTCCCACCGTCGCACAGTGTTTCACGAGGGCGCTTGCCGTTGCCGCCGCAGTTCCTTCTAGCGGTCCTCTGCCCGTACCAGCACCATAATAAGAGGTGCAAGATCGTGGACAGGAAGGAACTGTAGGCGCAGCGCTTTGCCGCATTGTGGCATCACCTTCACTGGCTTATCCAGAACGCCTGCACGGCATGGGGTTAAAAGCACTCAGCCTCGAAGATGGTTATCTCGATGCCTTCTTCTCTGGCCGCCAGTTTGGCCGTGCGACCACTACTAATGAACGCGAGGCCGAGTAAAGTGAGCAAGCATAAACTGTCCTGTTTAGTCTCTTGTTTGTCGCTGAACAAACCCTGGAGGATACTCCATGTAAACTACGCTGACACAGCAGCAGTCAAATTATCGCTCGCTTGGGGTGCCCCACGAAGCAGTTTCACTCCAGAGTAATAACGTCTTACGAGTTTGCGACCTTGAAAAGAAGATGCCCATTGAATTCTGCAAGCGCGAGGATGCACGTCGTCAACCAGACTTCGCTAAGGTAACTGCGATAAACTAGGTAAATGCTTCCTACGCCTTCATCCGCTCTATTACACACTGCACAGGCCCAGCAGAGTTCGCAGAGGGTGACTTGCTGGAGCTGCTCACACAGGCAGACTAACAACCCTAAACGCCAGAGTGTTCGGTGTCTTGTGCTCTGAAAGACGCCAGTTTGTGCGCAATGCTTCGTCGCGAAGCTCTTCCACTCTAAAAGCGAATAATGATAAAAGCTCTATCACTCAATGATGGACTACGTATGCATACTTGCTGGTTTGGAAGCAGCAATCGTAATCCCGATGATGCCCAGAGAGTTTCAAGCCACTATTGAGCCCGTGACTCACTCATCCCCAGCTGCAATGCATTCCGCCCGAAAAGCATTACCTGCCGGGGTTCTGATAAAATGGTTCGTAGCCGACCTGTTTCCCAACGTGGTGCATGCGCAGCTGCTGCACCATCAGCTGCCGCTCCTCCGTACTTCAGGCTGCATGTGAGCGGAGGCCCGATTTCAACATTTGTCGGTGGGCCGCTGCTAAATAACGTTTTGCTTTTTTCTGCTTGCAGTAGGTATTCAGATTGGCGGCCACTCTTTGCGTGTTTTCTGTTCCCCAGAGAACCGCGGAGGGTGAGCGGCTGACCACAGGCTGCTAGGGGCACTCCTGGAAATCTTCTCAGTTTTTCACTGAGTGCCACTCACTTAAATAATTTCGTAGAAAATAATTTGCATTTCAAGAACGAGTGGGAGCTGCCAAAGGAGGCAGTTCAGTCTGCAGTCTCGCCGTGTTGGCCCTTTCTGGGGTCGCGTATTTTGCGTTTAAACCATAATGGCGAATCGTGGTTGTTCTCTTCTCGTGCGCAACTTGCGCTATGAAACAACTCCTGAAAAGGTTCGAGAAGTTTTCGAAAGGGTTGGACGTGTAAAGGATGTCTATTTGCCCATTGACCACACCACAAGGGAACCCCGGTACGTGTATTTCGAGCTTGCGGCAGTAATGGAAAATGTTATGTGAGGCTGGGCCAGCACAGCTTGGCAGGAACTCACGTTTACACGCGATTAGCTGTCTGAGGTCTCCAAGTTATTCAGTTTCGTATTCTCTCTTCATAGTAAGGCGTTTGCAATCATCTTTATTAACTGGGCTGCAGGGGCTTTGGTTTCGTAGAGTACTTCGAGGAAAAGGACGCTCAAGATGCTGTTCGCGAGTTCGACAGGTTTCTACTCGATGGCAACGAAATCTCCGTAATTATCGCACAAGACAGAAGGAAGTCTGTAAGCCAGCAACCGCTGCGGCTCGGGGGCCTTTTTTGGTGCTCGTGTTATGTTGAAGGGCGGGGCTGGCTTGTTCAGGTAGATCCCATGCTTCCTATAGGACGCGTATTTTTCAGTATAGTTTCGTGCTTGGTTACTGTGCCGGATGCGGTTCTCCTTGCAGCCCCACACTATGCGGAGGATCCTGGCGGAGCGTCAGAATGGGTGCGTCTAAAGCCTTTTTCTTTTGCTCCCCTTTTCGCGTGTGTAGCCGCTGGGGTTTGTCTCTGATGGTGGTTGTAACTCATCCTCTAAGCTTAGCTAGAGCCCTCGTGTATGTTGTGTGCAATTTGTGCAGGAGGTACAACCGAAGCAGCCCCCCCATAGGCCGCGGGCCCCCAGGACGTGAGGGGTACCGTTATGATGGCCGTTACGAGGGCCGCTCTGGCTCTGGGCGCTACGAGAGAGACCACGGGGCGTACGAAGGCGGCTATAAGGGCAGCGGGGAGGCGTACGGACGGCGGGGCCGCGAGGGCTACGACGAGGGCTACGCGGGGTACGATGACTACCGGCGCGACTACAGGGTCGGCATCGAGGAGGAGAGGCGGCACCGTGGGGGGCGCAGCAGAAGCAGATCGAGGCCTCACGATGGCTATCGCGGAGACCGCTACCGCTACCCGACAGGGTGAGCCAGCTAGCCAATCAGTCTGTACAGCGAATGAGATTTCTTGAGAACTGCGAGAATCATAATTGTCACCAAAATGGCCTGCTCTAATCTACGCAACTGATAGGCCCCAGGTCTCTCGTGACACTCGAGTTATATTTTCAGTCAAGTGAAGTGGCGGCGTCAGCTCAGCTCGCAGTGAAAGAGATAAGAGGGTAAAGCGCAGCGCAAAGAGCCAAAGCGACCGTCGAGCCTTCCAGGAAATGAGGCATTTAAGAGGACCCTCCAGAGGCTAAAGAGTGGCACACATGGGGCGACAGAGAAGCAGCAACCAAGAGGTTTGATGCTTGAATCGGATTCTTCTGCTGGATTAAGCCAAAGTCAAAACGCAAGGCACACAAATTGTGTAAAGGAACACTGCAGTGGTCGGAGGCTCTCGAGGAGAGAGATAGATGCCATCGTGATTACCGTAAACCGCAGCACTGTGTGGCGCTTCGTACATTGTTGCTCTGCGTGGAAGACTCGCAGTGAAGGATGCGTTTGTGCGGATGATGATGATGGGTGCATGCTTGTCATGGTATGTTGCCTCCTGGGGAAGCGCCTCTTGCGAGCCACCTTCCGTTTTATGGGCAGGCTGCTGCACTGGACAGACAATGTAGGTAATTCCAACGGGTGTCTTCTGCGACGCAGGGATGGGGGGCGTCGCGCGCGCTATCATGAAAGGGAACGCGATGAGGACTACGCAGCACGGCCTTACCCAGGTGCGCATTAGCTGGTCTGTGCGAGGAGGGAGTCAGGGGACCTCAGGCAACTTGTTGCTCCGGCAGCATGGAGTGGGACAGGGCGGCAGCAGGGCCATCAAGACACGCTCAAGTTTGTTCACTATCACAAGTTGCTGCACAATTTTGTCGGGTCGCTGAAACTGATGACTATGAGCGTATGGGTGGAACGGAGGGCATCCACGCACTACCTTTGGCACTGCGTGCCTGTTGCTGCAGCTGTAGCAGGCATGCTGCAGTGCATGCGTAGGTTGGATCTGTGCATACAGTAATGGCTTTTGTTTTGCTGCTCGAAGAGACTACAACCTCCCGGAATTGCCTACAGTGTTCAAGCGCACTGCGCTACTGTTGCTGTTGGTGAGGGCAGGCCCCTCGTGGTGTGGGCTGTGATGACTATATATGTATATATATATTATTTATATATTCGGTATTCATTCAACACGCGCCGCCCTCTGTAGCAACGTAATAAATCTTGGCAGACCCTGGTCTCTGTCTCAAGCAGAGCACAGAGCACGCAAAAGACAAGAAATGCTATCAGCGTCTGCAGAAGAACAGAGCGTTGCTGCTCGGCATCATCGCTCGGAGGCCACTACTCCAGATGCCAAACACAGTGTTTGGACAGCAAGAAACGAGGGGAACCAACGAGATGTGCAGCGAAAGAGTCAACGGTGGGCGGATTGGTATATTTGCGGGGTAGTTTCTGAGCCCCGCAACGATGGCCGCGTATTCCACTGGGCACATCTCTGTAGACCGCACACCTACCCACAGCCAACACGACCTGCATGACGTCATCATTCACCCCACCCCACCAAACCTGCCGGTACGCCGATGGGCTGCAGAGGATTTGATAGTGACTCCCACGCAATGCGAAGACTATAAGTATTGCGCTGCCAGTGGAAATGAATGACAACGTCGGCAGGTAACGCAGGAGGGGATGGACATGCAGGCACAGAAGATATGTACAGATGTGTACATTCTTCCCCTCCCAGTGGCCAGACGTTGCGCGCTTGCGGCTTGTCAGCTGAATGCCAGGCTTCATTGAGAGCCGTATATTCGTCGTCACGCCTGTTGCGGTAGTTGTCCCATGTACGTGCGTTTTGCACATGCAACGGTTTAGCGTGCCAAAGTTGCAGGCATCCGTCTATCCGCTGCCACCCTTGAATTGAAGTTGAATCATCATTGTCTCCTCTATCCAGAGTCGAACTCCCCATTGTGCTCCCGGCTACTGTGGTCAGCGGAGTCTGAAGCATGCTGACGATTATGCTGAAGCAAGCCCCCCGCACACACGGACTGCATGCACACGTGCAAGATCATAGATACACACATTCAAGGGAGGCCCAAGGGCACTCCTACTACGCCAAGAGTGAGATGGCCACTCACAGTTTTACCTACATGCTTCGGCGGCCTGTCAACCTTGAAATTTTTCCTCGTTGATGTTTGACTGCCTTGGTGCTCACAGTCAACGGAAAGCCGCCTGAAGACAAAGCACAAAACACTTCCAGATAATGGCACTAACTACACCAGCTTTGTGGGTTGCGATTTTCATAGTGTCCAGCCTTTGCACACGTAATCCACAATATTATTCACCTTCCAACTCCGACCCGCCCACCCTAACTTCTCAAACAGCTCACCGGGCTAGCTCCAACTTGTCTTTACCAATCACAGACAACGCCTTGTCAGGTGACGGCTGTGAAATCCACGGATGCGCCAACGCTGAAGAATGACGCAAAACAGGGCAGCAATATCTCCTTGACATGTACCAGCTGGCGTACGAAATTACGTGGTTTGTATGCAAAAGACATCTTTTTTCTTCTGCTCAAATGCAGCAGTCAGGCCGCAATGGTGGACGAAGACGAAAGAAGACTGGTTATGATTAATAGGCGTATGTAGTAAAGGCAAACATAGCACATATCACGTCACATTCTGTTTTCAGCACTACCTTGAGTTGCGGTGAGGCGTGTCTTCTCGTTTCTGTCTAGCAAACGACTCAGGAAGTCAATCGCAGCATCTGTTAAAAACGGGCAGGCCGCCCGCGACCAGTTAAGCTGCTTGCTTTGCACCTCTCTCTGCTCCGCACACATTCGCACCAAATCCAGATCAAACTCTCTTATTAAGGGGATAAAAGATGCTTGACCCCGTTCCACGTGCTGAACGATGGTTGCCAACCCGCGAGAAGGCGCCGACAACTCACCGCTATTGCGCTTGCTTTGCTTCCCTCAAATGGATATCTCCCAAAAAGCATTAGGTAGATCATCACTCCGAAAGCCCACATGTCAGCTCCTTGGTTGTAGCGTTTGCTGCAGGTAAGACAAGTGTTCATACAAGTCGGTTGCAGTTCTCTCCCGAGTTGCCACTGGACCTCTGGAACGCACAGTGAGTATACTATGATGGTGCCCCATCGTTGGAGTTAGCTGTTACTGCTACTGCTGGTTGTTTCGCTCGGCTTCGCGCGCTGCAGCAATTTGTTTAACGACAGACAAACATGCTAAAGTACATCTAGTCACTGAAGTGCACTGCGGGTCAAGCACCTGATTAATTCGGGCGAAATGTAGTGTGGACTTCCGCACAGATCAGTTAGGTATCCGCATTCCGGCAACTGCAGCAAAGAACACCGAAAATTTTCCAATGATTGGAATTCACCACTTCCATTACTTCTGCATCGAGTGACGCAACCATGCTCGTGCTGAAGAGGGAAGAAGCCCTCAAATACGAACCCTTGCAGACATCCCGAAGTCGATAAGCTTGATGATTGAATCGGCTCCCTTGCTCTTAAAAAGAAAGTTCTCCGCCTATGAGCACGCAGAGAGAAGAAAGTGCAAGTAGTAGTCGTGCAACGGGTAGACGCAGAGGTCCTAAGATATGTTCCTGGTGTTGCCAAGCAGAAACAGCCAGTGAGTGTTCTGTGTCCTTCGTTTGCTGCGTATTTTCGACTGTAACTTCACTGTTTGAATTCGCACCTTTACGTCGCGGTGAACAACGCCCTGGCCATGTAGATAAGCAAGAGCAGACGCCATTTGCCTGCAGAGGGCAGAGGCGTCTTCTTCAGTGAATTGCCTTCGGCTGACTATTTGATGAAAGAGTTCACCGCCGTCACACTTTTCAAGAATGGCGTAAAAACAATGTTTGTCTTCAAAAAACTTAACAAAAGAAACGATGTTTTCGTGGTGCAGAGACTTGAGTATTTCCACTTCCGAACGGATCATAGCCTCGTTCGACGGTCTGCCTGGAGTCATTTTTTCCTTGCCACTCATGCGCCGTTCCATCACCTTTACGGCGTAAACCTGGCCAGTTTCTCTGTCTGTGCATTCTCGCACTTGACCAAAAGAACCGCAGCCTATGACACGACCGATCTTGTAATATCTGCGAATATCATCAACTCCGCGGCGGTGGGCGGGTGTGGCAGAGATGCAGCCAGGGGAGCACGAGTTTCCCATTGAAACTGCAACAGTTGTGCTGACCGGCAGAAACCAAACCACAGAAAGTCCTAACTGCCGGCATTCCGAAAGGCCCAGCGCCCCTTGACGTCGCGGGGCGTGTCGACCAGTGCCATAAACGGTATTAAGGAGGCGATTCTGCCGACAATCCCCGATAATTCATCAATCTAGCAGTATGCCTGCCACGGAAAGACGCGGATTCCTACTCTACGGCAACTCGACGCTACGGCCCATTTCTCAAACTGGGGCTGTGAGGAACAAAATTGTGCCTCGCGCATTTCTCTCTGAAGGAAACTGCCCTACCAATGAAAACCCATATGTTGAAAATCATCATTTATACAGGATTCTTATCTTCATACAGAAAACGGAATGCTAGGAGAGGCCTGTTAGTGCCGCATGCAGGCGCAGGCGCCAGGGGCTTTGTGGCTCCAACGCTCATCCTTCACTCCAAAGGTAAGATTATGTATAATAATTATTCCTGATTCTTCCTCGTTTTTTACCTCTTGATTCGGTACAAACACGGCGCGACAGATGCAACCAGAGGCGGGCTTGGGCTCTCGTCAGGGTGTTCGCTGGGACAGCATAAGAGCTTAAATCCATGTTGTCTGTATAGCTGAGAAACGAGGCACTTCGGCCACAGCTAGCAGCTCGTTGCCTTCGTTGTTGTTCCTGCTGTCCCCGCAGATGCGACAGAGGAAGGGACGGTTCGCCACGCTTCCCTGGATTGCTCCCACCGTCAAAGATGTGTGTATTTTGGCCTACCAAAAGAAATCATAGGTCTGCCATTTGGTACTACCTGATTATAGTGACTTAATGACGTTTATGCACACTCTCTTGGCTGGACGAGTGGGGGCAGATCCCCCTGTCGCAAAGAACCGCGGGAACCACAATTTGGTGCGACGCCCATTTTCCCGGACGTTATAAGTACAACCATTTTTGGTGGCGCAGCTGGCAGTGTAATCTGGGAAAATAATTAGTTAGGAAGGGGAGGCTTTAGTCTGGCCTGCTCACAAGGATGCAGAATGGCTCTCATGTGCTGTACGTTGCTGTGTTCTTCATTCTCGCATAAGAAGAATGAGTCCTTCAACCAAAATGAAGACATGCAATAGCTTACTCAATCTGCGGCGTCCTTTGAGCGTTTGTGGTGGTTAGTTTTGCGCTTCCATCCTTCGAAGACCAAGACGAGGTTGAAGACACAGTTCCCCCGGGGGCCTGCTTAGGACCTGTTAATTGGTTGTACCAAATGCGCCTGAGCGCTTATTTTGCATGCTGTTGAGCAAGCTCAAAGGGGTGCAGGAGAAGGCAAGGAATTGTCTTCTCCCCCCAGCGGCTGCAACAGAGGTTGCCTAGCTCGGCATGCTGGGGCTGTCAAAAACTCAGCAAGAGGAGGAAAAGCTACGACCTTCCGTCCAACGCCAAAAACACTTTTCAGCCAGTTGCCTCTCGAGTATGAATAGCAGGACGCAGACGCCTTGCCTGTTGCAACCTTTTCGCCACGGTCGTCTCGCTCGCGGGAATGGCGCCTGTTCTCTTGGTAACCCCAGGAGGCGTGCAATCGTTCCTCGATTTCGCCAGAGAATTACACGTATGAGATGGAAATCACTTATTGGAGTGAATGAGCCAGTGGGCACTGACACTGAGAGTATAACGGGAGTCCCCCAGCTTAGCCTAAAGCAGTCGTGAGCTGCAAACGGCTCAAACCCCATGGGGTAAGAGTTCTCCTAAAGGCAACTGCTCTCCCCTCCATTTTTCAGCCTTCCTGGGCGCGACCCCGCAGCTGTCTGGGGCTAGTGGGAAAATTAGGCGGCGTGCCATGAATTGCAGCAAAATTTGTTGCAACCCTTGCTGCAAGTAAAACCCACGTGCACGCATGCGCAACCCGCCCCTTGATGCATGCAGTACGCTTCTATACGATTGTTAACCTTTTCGTTGGCCCTCAACAGCCAACCTGCGGAAAAGAGGAAAGACATAAAGAGCCAACAGACAGAACAGGGTACAGACATCCAGCGATACACTCCTTCTATTGTGTAATGGCGCCAGGCGAATACTCTACTGTGCCTCCAACAATCAGCAGCCACAGCATATCGAGGAAAAACCCAATTTTGGTGCTAAAACGAAGCAACACCATGTTGCATCTCCTCACGTCGTGAGGATTCACCTATTGTGTATCCAGCGGAACGCAGGCAGGCACTAGCAGTCCGCTGGAGCGTCTGCTTCCAATTTGGAGCAGTGGCCCTGTACACTGCTTTTCGACTGAGGGATTTTTTGAAGTTTTAGGCCTCTACCCCCATTTATTTTTTTGAAGGTCAACTCTGTGCACCGTCAGCCAACTCGTGACGTGCCCTGCAGTAGCGGACAACAGACCTGCACGCAATTGAGCTTTGCTCCCAGTATAGAGATCCCTGTAGCTGCTAGCTGCAGAGCAACGTTCATCAGTGAGGATAAAATTCTATGGTAAACGCAGAGTTCTGGCACGGTAACTGGAATTACTAGTCGCCTCTTCATCGCACTCGAGCGCAAGCAACTCAGTGTTTAATTTGCCACTGTGAGATGCATTTTGTAGAGCAAGATATTGTGTAGAGCAAATACTAAGTTTAGGGGGAAAGGAAGTGAAACTGAGGGTGTAGTTGGCACTCTTGTTCGTAGTTGGTCAGTTTCGGAAACGACGATGCGATGCGAGAGTGAATTCCTTCTGCATCCCGTCAGTACCTCTTGCGTGCTTTGGAGAGGTATGCATTTCAGCAGGGGCTCCTCGTTGAAGCTAACCTTAACTTCTAAGGGGGTGCACGCAAGCAACGCACCGTTATAGCGAGAGTTAAGCACTGACTGATTGCAGCATACAAGTTCACGGGCGACGCCCTCGACACACTAATGCCACTCATCCGCATATAAAAGCACATACATATGCATGCCGAGCCAATAAGTAAGCACGCAAAGAGAAGGGGGCAAGCACAAAGGGACAGCGTGGCCGTCCAAGCTTGAAGATGAGAAGAAACAGCTTTCATGGGCAGTTCGTCTTCGCAGCGAGACAGAGGCCACCACCAATCACACAATCTGGAAGAAAATCATGTTCCGTTTAAAGAGGGTTAAACGGAAAGGGCAAACTAATCTTTGCAGCTGCACAAATAGGCGAGCAACTCCCTTGAACCCTCCTCGCATCCGACAGTACCAGTGGGTGGTAGGTGAGTGCCGGTGGTCCGGTCAGACAAGGGCCCGTAGCTCCATCAAGAGAGCTTATGTTAATTATTGTCAATGCATATCTGTATTTTCCTGTGCTGTTGGGAAGGCGGTAGACCCTGTCTCACGTTCTCCGCGAACGCCGTCTTGTGAACACTCCGAACCGCCAGCCGAGAGAACTACGTCAGCTTATCCACAGCTCGCATTGTTATTACCTTTTAGTGATTAATTTTGAGGTGCTTTTGTCCACTTGTGCTTTGTTTTGACCATTTTTACGCAAGTGGCCTCGCATTGCAGTTGCTCATTCCGGTTTAGGAGCCATCCGTCGAGTTGGGCAAGGCAGACAAGCAGCTTTGCAGAATGTACCGTGAGTGAATGAACAAGTCTACCGTTCAGCGTTGTGGAGGCAATGTAACACCTGGAGCCGCCTTTGGACACTTTTAAGCGTAAGTTTCGGCGGGCGGTGGGCGGCGGTGTAGCTTGAAGAGTCGCCGCCTAGTGTCTTGCGTGTCAGCAGCAAGTTAGGGGGCGCCTTCGTGTCAGAACAACGCTTCTCGAGGTATTTGCAAAGGAAGATTTGCTTTTATCCAGCCAAAAATGGATGGGAGCACTGTTGCTTTCGCGTCGCTTGACGAGCTAGACCAGCAGGGAGAGGGCAGGTCTGACCTACTGCACTTGCATTCCACAGGTGGAAGCGCTGTTAAGGTCGAGGGGTGTTCGGATTCTTGGAGAGGAGGGGCAGAGGCTCTTGCCTGTAAGGAGGCAAGTGGCACTTCGACTGCTGCGGATTCGCCGCCAGAGACTTCACCAGTTGCTCCTGCAGACGCAGGTTTTCCAGCAGCTGAAGTCAGTGTACACGCTGCTGAAGAAGAACAGACCCTTGCGGAAACAACGGCCTGCGACCATTCAGCAGCACCGCAACAACAATTGCCTCCATCTGCCTCACCGGCATCGGCCAGCGATGCACAAGATGAAGGACCGATCGATGCAGTGGCTGGAGCTGCAGCGACGGTGGCGGTTGAGGCGCTTCACAAGTCAGAAAAATTATCAGAGAGTCACTCACATTATCTGCTGAGGAGTAGTGGTCAAGGGGTTTCGAAAGCCTGGGAAGGCGCAATAGAGCATGCAGCTGCAGCGGCGTCAGCCACTGCATCGAGGGTCGCGACGACGGACTTCTCCGCGCTTAAGGTCACAGCGAACCCGCTGTTGGCAGCAGCAAGCTACATAGGCCTGGGAGCCTCCTGGGACTCATCTAGTGCTGATACAGAAGGAAATGCGATTTGCAAGAAAGCTGAATCAGGCGCTGCCACCGCACCTGCCGAAAATGTACGTGAGGCTAATAGCCACAACAGCGAACGAGGGAGCCTTGGCTGCGAAGAGGCTCCACCACCAGACAGCGAGGGATCAGCCAGCTCTCGATGGCTGCTGGGACGCCTTCGTCTGCCTGGAGTAACTCAGTGGCTTTGCTCTACCAACGTTGGATGCGACCGGCCGCAGAGCTGCACGGTGGCAGTTGCCGATACAGAAACGGAATTAGAAGGCAGCGAAGCAGAGGCCGCCGCTCAAGAGCACTTGGCGACGGTTAGCAGGACCTATCCCACTGCAGCTGCTGCCGCTGGTGCTGGAAGTTTGCAGGGTCAGGATGCTCGTCGGCAGGAGGAGCTCGTCACAGCGGACTGCGGCTTCTCTTGTACACCGTCTACTCCGAAGGCGACGCGCGTTGTTAAAGGTCTCCTGGATGCGCGCAAGCAAGAGAGAGCTACTGTTGCGGGGGAGGGTGGCGCTGGGTGTTGTACTGGGTGTTGTACTGCCGAGCCAGTAAAGACCCCCGAGGGATTTGAGCCGGTGCTGACCAGCCTGGAAGAAACTGAGGTTACTGCCATTGCTTGTGAACATTGCCTGGTGCCGGATCTAGGTGGAGAGAGAGGGCGGATGAACGACGAGGGCTCGGAATCCGCACAAACAGCGACGGACAGATTGCAGCAACAGCAGAAGCAGAAACTGTGGGAGTCTTTGCGTTCCACGATGGCGACTTCTTCCCGCCGCTCCGTTGATGTTGTTCAGCAGGCGGCTACTACAGCTGCTTCTGCTGCTGGAGCGGCTACTAGGGCGCTGGATGCTCTAGTCGTTCCTCTATTTGGTACGTGCATGCACCCAACGACGCATGAGCGTGTGGGCAGTCAACATATAGTATTAGAAGAAGAAAACTGCCCGGATCAAGCAGGGGGAAACGCGGAAGGGCCAGAAGAGCTGCTGCACGTTAATGGAAGAGAAGATGAACATTCACAGGCAAATGAGTTGGCCTGTGGGGCCTCTGAAACCAATTCTCGCAGCCTACTAACGGAGCTGCAGAGGAGGCAGCAGGCCCTTGCAGAGGCTGTGCGCAACCGAAGCACAAACTTCTTTCAGCATTCTGTAGCTCTAACCTCCTCATCGAGTTTCTCGGAGGCGCGATATCACTTGGCCGAGATTGTCGACACAGGCGGTCCCGAGGTAGGTCGTCACCGGCTCAGTGTCAACAGCCTATCGACTTCGATCTGCATTTTCCCCCTGCCTCGCGCTGTTAAGGAGTAGTGCGTGGCATGCTTGGCATCCGTACTTCAGTATTAGACAAATAGGAAGAAACCTTTGCTCATATTGAGGTGCTGTGCGCTTCGCAGGTTAGCGGGGTGTGGGCTGGCGTTAAAGTGGGTTTGGGCATAGCCACACTGGCCTCAGGACATTTGATTCTGGGAGGCGCGATGGTCGCTGTGGCAACCAGTTCGTTGGGGAGCGCCCTTCTGTGGGGTCGGCATCGCCAAGAAGTTTATGAGATAATGCGCGGGGACTACGCAGGAGATGAAGACCCGTCCCAGGCAGCTGAAGGCTTGAGCAATGCTGGGGAAATTCCTGAGGGGAGTGAGGAGTTTGAGGAGTCGGGGATGCTTAGCAGCATTGCCGGTGGGGATGAAGACAGCTGCGCAGCGACAGCATCCTTTCCGCTGTCTTCGACTCCACTTGTGCAATGTGATGCTGGCAATGTACCTAACAGCAGCAGCGCAGCAAGCGAAGCGCTTACAGGGCCCAGTGGTGACGACGGGGCCCTCGCCTTGGAGTAATTGGTTCCTGAGGATCACAACTTCGGCATTTCGGCTTTGGCAAGACTGCGGAGGGGTTGGAACACCGTTGCATTTTATTTGCTTCACAGAAACGAGAGAGCGCTTTACAGAAGCGAGGGAGCCGTTGATGCGCCCAGCGGGCTTGTTGCAACGCACTCTCAAAAGGGGGGGCTTGTTGTGGGTAGCCTAGCATGGAAATATGTTGTACATTGAAAACGAACCTGAATTGACGGTTGGCCTTTTTATGGGGGTATTGGACAAATCGTGCAACGAACGTGATGCATGCATTCCAAAAACATCGTCGGAACTGGCAGGACCACGCCAAATGCGCATTTGCGCTGAAAACACGGTGCTGGGCATCATGTATTGCAGTTGCTGGCTTGGTTGTTCTGAAACTTTAAACTTGACGAAGGATTGTTCCGTGGGTTCCTTCTTGAGGACGGCTAAGTGGTGAAACTTCAGTGTTAAGCTTGCATTCTTTGCAGAGGCGGCCGGTCCACTGGAGGCTTGTTCCTGTAACTCGGATATTATAGAATATCTGAGACCTGTGGAGGGCCACAATATCGCTGGTATTCCTCCGTAGAGAGCTTGTAGTCGGGTGCATTTGCATCCCGTGTTCGTCTTCATAAGAAGTTTAACTTAAGGCCAGTTAGGCGAGCGATGAATGTCTCCGCAGAAAGCAGGAACAGCTGAATGACGCATCGCTTGTCGGCGTACGTTCGCTGCAATATATGATGACTAGGCGAGCATTAAATAGCCTTGCTCTAGCTGGGTACGTGCCCATGTGCAAAATGTGAGGTGGCTAGTGGTGCTGTTACAGGACAAAATAGCATGAAAAAAAAGCTGCCCGCGCCTATGAATCAGCCGCACGAGCTGGAGGAAGAAGTGCACGAGAGTGACAGCTGAATTCCATAGGGACTCACTACGCACCAAATTCCCAAAATGAATACCCTGAGGTGTGAGGCACCGAGGAATGCGGGCACTCCGCCATTGGCGACCCAGGTTGCTGAGTGTGTTTACTTCGTCTTTATCCGTTTCATTGCACGCGTATACGCCCCTCTGCAATGAAGCACTTGAATCTAGGTTGTAATGGTAAGGTTTTGCGGTCTGTACGAGGTGTTCGTTCAAATCCTTCATCGTGTAGCGATCTCTGAACGCTTGCCCATATTCTGGGAGGAAAGAGGGGAATTGTATTCGCACAATTTTCTTGTGGTCTTAGCCTGAACTGCTGAACGAGCTGGTAGTTGATAACGACAGCGGGGCAGTGTGGATGGGGCCAGTGCACTTCTCAAAGTGGTGGAGCTCCAACACTTCTATTCCCTATTCTGACTCGACTTAATGCTGCTATTTCCAGTGTGCAGAAGATGGGGGACGAACAATAGTCGTACACAATGGTGTGCCAAGGAAGAAACGTGCTGAACATTGTTTCTTCCGGTATAGTTCAATCTGCTGACTGCCGAATGCTGCTTTGATTGCTGTTCGGGAGTGCTTTTTGCTTTGAATAATCCGTTAATGTTTTTGCAGACTCCCAGAAGATTCGCTGTAAGACGCGCCTCACTGAAACTCACATCGAGGGTAGCTACAGTTGTTCATGAACAGATGTACTTTTTCAGTGGTGACATGCGCAAATACTTGAAGCCATGGAATCTTGTCGCCAACAGTATAGGTGAATCTGAAGGTTAAGAGCTGCCTCTTTAATTGTTTTGACTTTGCATGCTGGTTTTTCTCCGTGACACACTGTGCCAACGCGCCAGAGGGGGCCGTATTGCCATGCGTGCAACGGGAGTGGCTAGGCTCGTGCTGACGGGATATCATAACCTTAGAAGAGGGAATACGCCAGAAGCATTAACTGGAAATGCATTAACTGGTAAAGAAATGCATTTGAAGAGTGCACACGGAAGGAAACCGATAGTTGTCTGACGGGCAGGTGTTATGAGCCGAGACAAGTAGGCACTGCTGCTCTTCAGAAAGAGGTGCAGCAACACCATGAAGTACTAAGATTAAACAGTAGTAAAAGAAGACAAGGACTGGGAACACGATCCGGTTGCAGAAAGGCCTCCACTGGTCAGGTCAGAGCGACGACTCGCCCGCTCCCGCAGCGTGAGCAGGGTTTCCTAGGCAAGGAACGAGGTAAGAGCGCCTCATGCTCAGCCCCGATCGTTCTCAAGCATTTAGAAACAAATTTATTTTCTGGCTGTTGACGGAGCTTCTTTCTCGTGGTTTGCCCAAGCCTTCATGTCAGGAGGGCTATTGATAAATGACGGTCTGCGTTCGACAGAAGAGACCATACAGGCCCCCACGCAAGCTCAAAGAAAGCGCAGTTCGAGAGGACCTTCCCATATTCCTCTTTAATTTGTTTTGACGAAGGAAAGTCACCGATTGGAAAAGTCTCCTTTTTTTTCGGGGGTCCTTGCTATGGGCTCAGAGGGCAACGAGAGGGCCCGCTCTTCCTCCGTGTACTTTTTCTGCCCTTGCTGTCCTTCGGAAGGCGAGGTTCTTCGGATTTCACAAGGGGCCGATTTGCTTGAATCTTTTTTTCTACCTAAGCAGCTGAATATTTGCATTTGTTGCAGGGCTTATCGGGATCTAGACGGCTCGGGCAAACTGCCCATTGGCCACCAAGGAAGGAGCTTGTCTTGTTGAAAAAAAAGTGCTCTGAATGCCAACAGAGGCACTTGTGTTTTGCGTTTTCCCTTTTATGGTGCCGCCGTTCTTGAATGCGCCAGTGAAATTCAGATTTCATTGGCCTTCCGCAGACAACCATGGAGGCGGGAGCGGAGGTGCACTGAGCCAGCGTTTCCCTCTGCAGACGCTGACAGGGTTCTTGAGCATCATACTCAATTTTATCGGCAGATTTGCAAGGAAGACGGCCCCTCAGTCACTGGTGGAAAAGGGGATTTGACATTGATGCGGCGCCCATTTTTGCAGCCGGGAAAAGTAGTCGAATTCGCTACTGCTGGAAGCGTCGAAGCTACCCAAAATAGGAATGGAGCTGAGAAGGAGTAAAGGTACCCGGCGTCTCTTCGGGCATGCATGCCGCATGCCGTGGAGGCGTTTATTCGTGCACGCTTGGGCGTTTTGTGGTGTTCTGTGTTCAATCTGTTGGATTTCGGCAGCGGCATATTCCACCGGTGAGCCAACGGCAACTCTTTTGCACTGCAGCGTAACAGCGTCAAAATAATCCAAGCCAATTTAGCCTTATATCAGAGTAGTGTGGGTTGAGAGGGATCCATTCTGAGCCTAGAAGCAAAAACACTTTGTCAGTCATACGTGAAAGAGAATGGGCACGCATGGCAGACCAACCTCACCATGCCTTATTGCATGCCTTATCCCTGAATTATGCTGCTCAGATGCACCCCGACAGAAATACGTTAAAGATTGCCACAATGGCGCGGCGGGGACGAACATTTCAGGGTGCGATGAAGCAGGGCGTAAACAAACGGGGCTGAGCGCACCTCTTCATCTTGACGTCTCTAAACCTTTCGGATACCTTCAGGTGCGATCTCCATGGTGTGTATTATCAATAGTATTTTGCGAAGCTTCGCTAAACAGAAAATCTGCCAAAAGGGTGTTGGGGTTTCCGTTAGCAGCCCTGTAGTGCAACCTTGATGTGGCTGAAGCTACGTTCAGTGCTCTCCCTAAGCAATGCCTGGCTATTAGTTTTCCCTGCGTGCCTGTGCGGATCAACAGCTCACAACTACGTCACCTAGAAGAAAAAAGCAGGGCCTGTCGGGTGCGGAGAAAGACGCCAGGAGAACGGCTGAGGAGCGCAGGAAGGCGCAGCTCGCAGGGACTGACGACGAATCGTCGTCTCAAAGTGAAGACGAGGAACCGTCAACAGACGATGGAGGCTCTTCCAGCTCGGAAGCGTCGAATAACCAGCAATCAGAAGACTCCTATCCTGCAGCCCGATCTACCACTACCGCCCACCACGCCAGGCAGCAACCGCCTTCGGCTCAAAAGGGGCCCTCCACAGGGTATGGGGAAGCACTTGCAAAAGTCTATGATTATGAACCCTCAGACGAAGAAGATGAATCGGATGAGCCAAGCAGTCAAACAACACCAGCAACTCCTTCAGATTCAGATGAGCAGCAAGGCTCCTCTTCTTCCCTTGCCAAGGCAGGGATAACAACCACTGAGAGCGGCGGAAGGCCTACGGCGGGGCAACTGCCGGCGTCAAACACCACTCAACCTTCGAATCAAACCGGCCAAACGGGCACTGTAGTTGTGCCGGTCAATCAGCCTCCTACATCACAAACTGCTGAAGGTCACATGCCCCCCCATCCCACTTCCGTTAGCACCTTTGCCAGAAACGGTGCAGTCGTTCCAGGAAACGCCGCTGATGGCATTTCAGACGCGGATTCTATCAGCTCAGAGGGGGATGAACTCAGGCATTCATTTCATAGGGGCTCATCAACCAGTTCAAGTGGAGAAGGAAAGCAGAATGGACTCCCAGGGGAGAACAAGGATTCCTTATCGGACCTTGTCAGTAAGGGTGTTGGCAGAGGTGAGTCTTGGCGTTGCTCTATCCTGTTTGCTTTTACATGCTGTGATCATCTGGGCTAGAAGAGTGCAAAATTCATTTGATGCTGCTTTCTTGTCGAAACGGAGCTCCAGTGGCTACTCCATTGGGGTCCATAGGGCGTGCAGGCGCTGTATTGTGTGGCCTTGCTCAGAATTGCTAGACTGCATTGAGATGCCTCTTGGCTACCACGAACTTGATTCCCGAGTCGACGAGTTCTGCAAACGCATCAGAAAGGATGGAATCAGATACCCAAACCATCCTACACAAACGGCCTGCAGGAAAGCTGCCAAGCATGTTACCACTCAGATCCGGCGTGTTTATGACAAATGCAGTATCAGCATTTACGGTCAGTGATCCCCTGCACGCCCTATATCACCACTCATAAGCAAGGCTCATTTAGAATAAACGGTTTGCCTCCCTTCCTTACAAATCATCAAGGGGGGACACTATATAATCAAAGTGCAGGTCTAGCTGCTGACTCGTGGGACACCCGCATTACTGACGCCCCTCGAGCACCCCAGTCAAGCCCATGATGATGGTGTTGTCGTTTACTCTGGCTTGCTTGGTTCCACTCAGCAGATATTCCTATTCCTTTTTGTCTGCAGAGTGCCTCACAGATATGTGGCTCTCACCCGTCATACCAGGGGTCACAATCCTAAGAAACCTGATGGGAAGTAAGTCTTTTACTTGCGTGGTCTTAAAGCTGCCTGTGCATCAGCTTTAACGCCAAACGTTTGTACACTCAAAGCAAAAGTTTTAAAGTGCAAAATATGTCTCGAAGAGGTAGAATCTACGCGTTGATTCAAACTGGCACCTCGATTGGAGTTCGAGGTTTCTGCCGCTTAAATGGGTATCATACCATCACAGCCTTTTGCCTGTCCGCGCAGTCCCACAGCTGGCCAACCCCAATTTACTCGCGAAGTATATACAAGATGCTTTACACGCGCCTGAGCAAATGAGGGTATGGAGCAACCCCAGCATGGAGTCGAATTCTTGCACATTTGGGTATCAGTATGAATCGCTCGTCTCAGAGAAGAGGAGGCGAACTTCTGCTGTGATTCCTGCTGCTGAAGCACAACAACGCTTTGATATTGTGAGTTACCTTCACACGCATATGAAGCAGTGGGCACTCTGCTGCCTCGGCGCTCCCTTCACAAAGCTTCAGGACAGGCGAGGGAGAATTCATGTAATAAGTGCATGGGGTAATCTCTCCACATGGATTTGTGATGTCTTGCCGCAGTTGAAACGCCTAAAGTTCTTACTGATCCTAATGCAACGGCAAATTGTAGAACCGGCAATGATAGGATTCCTCATGAGCCTATTTGACATGAGCAAGTGTTCGGAGCGCTTTAGGCAGGAGCCGCGATATACCACACCTGAAGGCTCTACAATTAGCGCAAAAAGGCTTTTCCAGGCGTTGCTGACAGATGCTGTAGCGGCGGCGTTTACTCTTGATGTGGAAAAATGCAAGACACCGGAAGCCATGCACACAGGCACCAAGGCTAACGTCCTATGTGCGCAATTCATGCAAGAAGCGAAGGTGCGTGAAACTCTCCAACCCATTATCCGTCTAGTAGCAGAAAACGACATCGATGGTGCTAAACAGAGGGCGGCCACTTTCGCCCAAGATCTCCAGCGAGCAAAAGAGGACTGGAAGAACGTAGAAACTGCACAAGCATTTGGGAGAGTGCATGCTGCACTGTCCGTCACCTTGAGTAAGTTCCTACCAACTCCCACGAGACAATTACTGGCCCCTGGCGATCTTAAATATGCAACTTGTGGAAATACCTCTGTGCAAAGCCCCAGTTTCAACCAATTTCCGCTGTAAGCCCGATGAAAAGGGGAAGTTGGCAACAGCGCGGGAATTCAAGGATAAGCACACGTGTAAAGTGTATTGATGCTCGCAGCTTTTCCTCTATCAAATTGGAAAGGGAGGCTTGCGTCTTGGTTGGCCACCCTAAGCCCGCTGAGGAAATTGCTTGGCAGAGTGTTGGGCGAAGTGACGGCTTATATCTTCCAGGATAATGAAGACGCAAGGGATTTCGGCCTGCAAGTCGAGAGTGTAGAAGAGGATCCAACAGTCACCGGCCCAGCGTTGTTGAAGTACGCCGAAGTGCATGTAATGCAGCTAGTAGCAGAAGCTCGATTCTTCTGTCAAACAGGTTTTACGGGGCTTGGCAAGGCACTCGGAAGTGCACTGAAGACCGTCACGCGGAGCTTCGCGCGTGCACCAGTGAACGAAGGCCAACAAGGAAGCAATGAACCAACCGTGTCTCCATCCTCTCCTATGTTTTCTGAGATATCATCTTCAATGCATGTTTGGAACGGCTCCACTCACAATCCAATGACACTGGCGAGGCTCACACTGCAGGACTTCCTGCCTTCCTTTTTGTCCACGAAACGAAAGAAGCATCATCGTTTCTCAGGCTCAGCTTTGGCGTTGGTAGGCACTACATCAGGAATGAAGTTAAAGAAAGCTCTGAAGAACGTCGAATACAACGGAAAGCGTATATTTGCAGACAGCCAATTCCTTAAACGACGTTGGTGGAACGTCTTAGGGTGGATCCTGAAAAGGCTACGGACGACGGAAAAGCTGGCTTTGCCTCTAGTCCTCCTATTGGGGATTCATTTCTTCGTTATCAGCATTTCCTTTGCTGCTGTTGCAACAGTGGCGACGCAAGCGATTGGCGCCTATTGCGTTCTGGTGGTGGTGCTGATGATGCTGGACGCCCTGCAACTGGGCGCTGCGCTGAACCTATCCTAAACACGACAGGCCCATCAAACAACGTACTCAGCATAATGTGACGCTGCGTCACTAGCCTCAACAATCCTTCGCACCCAATCCCAATGCTTTCATTCCTTTATATCCCAACAGAATAGCATATACCGCAGGAGCGCCTGCTCACGCATGCCACTATGCAGAAAGAGTCTGTTGCTTTCTCCAGCTAGGCCTGAAGCAGACGTTACTTTTGTTCGGCCAGATGGACTTAAGATTACTTCATATTTCACAACATACTACGGTGAATGCGCAGCTTAAGATAGGCACAATTTCTGTCACGCTCTTGGGCAGTCGGTGCTTCCTGGAACCCTGTGATGAAACGAAGCCCACGTGGCTATCGATTCGAAAATGACGTTCGCTCAAGAGCAGGCCAAATCTATTCACCTGGTTTGCTGGCAGGCACTCGGCATTCAATGTGGAGGTAGCATGTTTCAGGCGAACAAGAACAACAGGTGCTTAGAGGCTGTCGAGACCACCAGCCCTGTCAGGAGGTGCTAGATAATGAGGTAGGACTGGACTAATTCGTTATTTGCGCTGTTGCGGAGCGGCAGTCTGAATATAGGTGAAAATAGGGCTCAAGGCATATGAACAAGTCCTTCATTTCATGATGAGACCCGCAAACGCCTGTCTAACTTGCTCCCAGATTGACCAACCCACGGGAGTTGCCTGAGATATTTGTGGAGTCACGCGGAAACACTGGAGACTATTTTTTTCGTGAGGAATTCAACGCTGTAAGTAGCCGAATGCATCCATGAGGTTGAGCCGGAAACTAACAATAAGCCGGCTGCCTGCCGAACTCCCATCCTGTAATATTTAGGGAAGGCCATAACTGCTCAGCAAGGCCTCCTAGTGAGCAACACGAGCATTGCCATCACCGCGAAAGACGATGCAGCGTCCCACGTCGGTGTCAGCTCGATGCGGAACTTACTTAAGAAAGGCTGCATCCACATTTGCCTCAGTGGTCAGCCCCATATATGTCCCCCATGTCAAACAGCCATCCCCCAGCCGTAGCCTTCTACACGACTTCTCTGCAAGCCTTTACGTGGCCGTTCATCGGCCACCTCACCTCACCGTTTTCTCAAGGCCGCTTCTGCGATCTGTTGAAACATTGCACTGATCGTTTGCACAGCTAAGAGGTGCAGCGGAGAACACCACCTGTCTTGCGCCTTGGCAAGACATGCGGAGCCTGCAAAGGTACTGGATATGAAAAAAAAGAGATCGTTGGCTCTCCTGCTGCGTTTTCAGTGAAATTTCATCCAAGGCTTTCAGAAATTTGCCGTCCAGTTGTTTCTGATACACCAAACGGTTTGATGCGATTGCAGAGAATAAGAGATGCATGCACATGAAATATCTCCCTTTGCGTCTATTGCAAACTTTATGGGGCGCATGCACCCACCGCTTCTCCCCAATGCGGAGATGAAGTTATTTAATTGGCCATCTGCTGGGGCTGCGGCTCTCCTCCCTCCTATTTACCCCTCCCCACTCCAGGCGTCGTATTCTGTCAGCCGCTGTTGTGGAGCTCCGCTTCGCATGGAGTCATCTCCGCCTTCTTTTCCGTGTGGAGCCACCTGTAGCGAATCTCTCCTCGCCTTGAACTGTCTGCTAAACGGTAAAACGCTCTGGCAGAGCCGCCGACTGCCCCCGTTCTCGTTCGTTAGGATGCGTGATACACATCTTCTGGCTCCTGCACCTTCTCCTGCGTTTTCAAGGTCTATTTCTGCAACTTCTGCTGTCTTTGTCAATGCTGCTGGATTCCTCTGACTGTCTCTGTGAGCCTTCCATATGATCGAAGTCCCCAGGGAGCCAGCGGCAAGAGCCACCATGAAACTGCCAACTAAGAGGTTCCCAGAGAAGACAGAAGCGACTCCCAAGCCCACCTTCACAGTAGACCAAGCGCAGCCCAACTGAAGAACCAAACATACAGCAGTTATGCGCCATCTGAGCACAGTGTCAATGCACCAACCAAGTGCTGTTCACGCAGTGTGTGCAGGACCTGTAGAAGCATCTAGCCCACACAAGACGAATTCATATGGCTAGCAAAGCGAAGCAATTCACCCACCACAAAAATGGGTTATGCTGAAGGGCAGTGTGCATGTGGCCTTCCCCTGACGACTCCCCACAGGCTTGAATGAGGCAGAGGACGATGTGTTTCGACAATCACAGATGGCACGCACATAAAATTATGAAGCGGGTAGGTCTACTTACCTCGGGACCACTTAGTTGGACGATCTCGTTGAGGTGATGCTGCAGCTCGGCAAAAGATTTGGCAGAAGTGGCGCCGACGGAGTGTCTGGCAAGTTCGCGGCTCATTGCCTGCATGTCTTCTGTGACTGTTCCTTTAACTTGCTTAATGCAGTCAAGGAAGTCCTTTAGAGTATTGCCGAGTTCCTCTCGTTTGCTCGTCTCTGTCTGCCGTTCCTGCACGGCGAGGCCGTCTCCAAGTTCGAAGCCAAGTTCACCAAAGTGGGGAAAGCCAAACATCTCTCTAGCGTCTGATTCTCTTAGGGACTCCTCAGCCCATACATCAGTGTCTGTTCCAGTTGGGGCCTCTTCGCATTCTTCTGCTGAGATCTCGGGCACTGCAACTCCCGACGCTCTGGCTTTCAATGCTGCCGACTCTTCTCCTGTCTGACGTGCAATGTTCACGCAGCGGTCATGCCCCCCTTTCCTTTCACTTCTGAATAATGTCGAGACTCTACTCATTTTGCCGTTGCTATCTTCAGGTGCACGGGGAGGCAGGGAAGCAGGTCCTACAGCTCTCCTCTACACTAGGACACCATGGCTTGCGCCGACCCTGTCTGAGTCCATGCTGCCACCTGTTCAATACTTTGCGTCTTCATCAAGTCCAAATATGCTGAGCGTTGAACAACGGCATATCCTGTTACCAATGGTCTGCGAGACTTTCTTTTGGTCTTCCTAATGCCATTGCATATTCGCTGTCCTCATGTAAACTCCTCTGATGGAAGCACGCTGCACTTCATTCACTTCGCGTCGACGCATTCAGGAGCAAGGATAAAGTACGTGTCTCGAAAGCTTGTGGTTAAGACCTTCCCCTTCGCTCAATGCTGCCAAGCCTGATAGCATGTGTCGACATCTTCACATCAGTGCAGTTGCGTTGGAAGTTTTTTTCCTCATAAACTTCAAATAAAAAACGAATCCTTCAAGCGCTTGGTCTTCATCTGCAGAAATTCTCCTGCGTTGCTTCGATAAACCGCACGGCGCTCCCGCCCGCTGTCTCTGGTGAACCGCAATCCAACAACTCCTTAAAAATGGCCCCTCCTCGGGTTTTATGTACAACTTAAAAATATGGTTTGAAGTGCTTTGTGCTGTGAACACCGCGAAAAAGAGCAGAAGGCCCGGGGCTGCAGCCTCTGAGCGTTGCTGTTGCTAGAGCTCCATGAGGTAGTGAAGACCTAGTTGGGCGGTGTGATGCGCGTGTGTGTGTGGCGGCCTGCGAGGAGATAAAGCTCAACTTTTTATTCATTTACAGGTCTTAATTAAAATGCAAAGCCACCAAATGGACAACATGGAGGCACCATCTTCCATTCTACAACTCGGAATGAAATGCGGAGGAGCTGTCAACTGTCGATGGAATTGCTGGCACTGCGCAGTGTCGTCGCGGCGACGCAATCGCCTTTGAAATGAGAGTGATAAGGTTGTTAAGTTTTAAATTGTAAAACACGAGTAGTTTTGCCGTGTTTGCCGCCTTTGAAGCTGAGACGATGCAACGTAAGATCTGCCCAACATTAGAGCTTGCGGGAGCGACCACTGCGTGGGCTGGAGGAATGTGTATACGTTGATATGCTTGTTGAAATGCTCCTCGAATCTTTCGTTTATTTCGTCTTCTGATAAAACTAAGCAAAACGGTATGGAGTCAGCAGCATGCAGCGGCGGCAGTAGCAGGCCCCCGTTCGCCACTATGAAAAAGTGGAGAGTATATTTGCTTCACAGATGAAGTTCATTCTCTCCAACCCACAACGAACAAAAACGAGGTGGGACGGAGTTGGTGGTAGCATTAGAGGTGTACTGTTCAGAACGCTTGGTTATTTTCCTACTCCTCAAGCTTTTGCACTGGGCGTCAATAATCGCGCGGCATAGAGAGGTTCGGTTAAAGCTGGCGATTACATCAGCAAACCGTCTATGCCCGGGCTAAGCTGCGGTTTTACAGGAGAGGATGCTTCTTTCGTGGTTTCTGCCCTCTCTGCATCTGAGTTTCGTTCCCGAGACTGGGCGTTATCTAGTGCCACTGCGTCGACTACTTAATACTCACCAGTGCAAATAAGACCACCTAAAGAAGCTTCACGCCCAGTAATTCTAGCTAAAGCTTGCGCTGTGTTCATAGCACCCTCATGCAGGTCCTTTAGCGTTCGGAGTAAGCATCATAACGCTGTCTTGTAAACTGAGCTTCCTGAGGCTGCTAGTTTCTTGATATTTTTTCACATGATGGCTGTTTAAGGGACAAGGGGCTACTAGAGCGCCTTTCCACGTGCAGCGCATACTGTGGTTCGGAGACCGTAATAATAGTGAGCAGCAACGCGCATGGGTATCTATACCTCGAAATATACTGGGAGTCCGCCAGGTCGAGATCCTAAAAATGAAACGTAATGCGGCATGTTGTCAGTTGCTGTGGTGTGCCGCAGCCAGGCTTGGTTACAGACGCAAAATGCGAAGTAGGAACAGGGGGGACAACGCTAGTTTAATGCAATAGAGCGGAGGAGGTGTCTTGCTCATTGCGCTAGCTGATAATTTTCTCTCGCAGCACTTATGGCCAGCTTGAAGGCTGATGATAGCCACGCATCGGAAAGGGAGCGGCCTCGAAAGATTAACAACACGTGGTTGCAAAAGGCGAAGAATGCAGCCTGTTTGCTTCCTATATGATGTTCTTCTACAGAGGTTACATTTCGGTTTTTGCAGTTGCATGCGGAGAGGACAGCCGAACAGATTTTCGTTCTATTTCTTTCAGTCGGCGATTACCTCTTGTAACCGCTGACGAAGACAGGGAACCGGCCTATCGAGCTCAATCAAAGGGGTCTACCCCCTTTCTTCTGATGAGAAAATGCTGCAGGGCAGTAGTTCATCTTTACTAGCCTAAAGGACCACAGTACGTGCTTGATTTGGAGACAAATGCGCGGCAGCACATCCATTTCGAAGTTGTGCTCCTGTCCCTTGAGAACTTAAGGAAGCTTGGACTTTTGCGTCATCCCATCAGTGAATGATTAAACCGATTAAATCTAAACCGGAGTGGCTCGCTTACAGTGCTGCTGGCGCTCTGATGCCGGGGCTTTCTACTCGTCGTACATCTTCATGACGCAGCGGATGCATTCGGTCTTCTTCAGCAAGTCGAACGCTTCATTGATCTGTGAGAAGTGCATGCTGTGGGTACAGTACTTCTCCAACCTGCACCAAAACACCTGAACTAATCCGTGATAACCCCGAGAGCCAGAACTACCGAAGCACATTCAAGTTTCGGGACGCAACGCACTTCTTCAGTAGTTGTAGCTGCATTTGTCAGCAGCTTTTATATTCACCTTACCATTTGAAGCAACGCAGCAACACTCATTGTGGCAACCGGAAGACGTTTCAAGGACACAAGAAGCAATACAGCTAGCTGTATAGCAGCAGCGAAAACGAGGAAAAAACGATAGGAGCAAATGGAGGTGGAGCAAATGGAGGTGAAGGGACACTTTGGGCTTATATGGGTATCTTTACTTAATCTCTCCATTGATGACTTTCTGGGCGAGCTTAGGAATGTCCTCTCTGGATCTCCAGCCGCCAAATACAGAGCCCTTAAGTTGCCGTCCTACAATGAAATTGTACGGTCTGGTGCTGATCTCTTTGCCGGCTTCGCCGATTCTGGACCACCCAACAGGGAGCAAGTAACGCAAATTAAGTCGCAGCTTCTTCTCAGCTGCAAGAATCTCGTCACGGAAAAGCACGACTGCATTATATTCGAAAACTAGTTTGGTAGAAAGCATTTTTGCGTGGAATATGAGGATGCCTGCATTTGGAATAATTGGGTAGAGAGAAGCTTATCACGACCCACTACGTTGGATCCACGATGGCTAACCTTGGAGCTCAACGACGAGCTCAATAAGGATCCTTACCCGACGATAACTGCTAGGCCCCAACCTTTGCAAGTCGACTCAAGTGCGCTGCGCATCACTTTGGTGCTCCCCGTGCACTCAAATGCGTAGTCTACTCCGCCTAAGTGCATAAAAAGACACAGCAACAAAAAGAGGCTAGTGAGCTGTTGCCCCAGGATTAACGTGCTTTAAGGTAGGTAGGCGGAACGGAGGCTTGCTAATGCTGCCGCTGCATACAGCTGCTTCCATACCGTTTTGCTGAGTTTTTATCAAAAGACGAAATAAACGAAAGGCACGAGGAGTATTTCACCAAACATATGAGTTAGCTACTCCTCTGTTGAAAGCCCAACCCTACGAGCTCAACATTGCATATTTCTTGAAAACAGGTATGCGACAACTAGACGGCAAAACCAGCTCGCTTGCGGACTCACCATCTGTCATATCAATTATAACTTCCTGAATCGGCTTGTCGAATTTCTTCGGATTGATGAATTTCGTGCCTCCGAATTTCTTTGCAACTTCCAGTTTGTGGTCGTTGATATCGACACAGATTATTTCCTTTGCACCACACAGGTGGGCGCCTTCCACGCACGCCAGGCCAACGCAGCCGAGTCTGTGAGCGCAACACGCAGTTTGACCACATGGGTACTCTGGCTATAGTTGATTGATCAAACTTTCATGATTGATCAAACTTCCATGCAGTTTGAGTGAGAGATCGCTGCAAAGATTCCTATGGATGCGGTGGCAAAAACATGAAATTCATCCCCTGCAATTCGTCAAATGCTTGCAAGGAATACGCAAGAGAAAATGTTGCACGCATGTGGAATATCTTTACAGCAACTTTGGAAAAACGAAGGCATTAAGGCTAATAGTCGAAAGAATGAAGGGTACCCGTAGACAGCTACAGTAGATCCCTTTTCAACCTTTCCTGTGTTCATGGCAGCGCCCATGCCCGTTGGCACTCCACATCCTAACAAGCACATCTGTTGCATAAAACGGAAAAAGCACACAAAAATTACTCAAGTGGTGCAGCTCGTCGCTGCGCAAAGGTGCAACAAAGTCACAAGGTGTGCCTGCACCACAGTGCAAGGTTAACACTGGAGGGAGGGAAAGTTGTGAGCTTACGAGGTTCATAGGGCTGCTTTCTGGAACAACAACAACACATTCTTGAGGCACCACTGTGTACTGTGAGAAGCTGAACACTCACAAAGGCCTCATCAACCAAATCCGGCGACTTTTCGTGCCAAGCCCGCTATCTTGCTGTCTGTTCTCAATTCATACAACCTGCTGGTAGCCAATTGGCGTTGCAGGAAATGCAGAGAAGGTCGTGCATCTTGATACATTGCTGTTGGCGAGATGAGCGGTCACAGCTAACCTGGAAGTGCCCATGAAGTGGTGGATTGGCTGTCCGTCTTTGGTGGTGAAGCGGGAAGTTTTGTCCATTGGCATGACACCCTCAACAAAAGCGTCTAGGAATTTGCCGCACATATTTGTCTTGTGGCATTCATTTCCCCGACAGGTTCGGCACTTTCTTGCCTTTTTGTCTTCCGGGAAGCAGTCGGGCTGCAGTTCGTTTGCCGCACACAGAACTTCGTTATTGTTCCTCTCTAGCACCAAATGGTAATGTTTTCTGCCGAAAAGAAGCTGAATAAGCATCATTAATATGCAAGGAGAGCTCTGAAATAGACAGAAGCTGCCACTGCTCACCTCCCAAAGGGGGATGACTTTGTCGCCGGGTTTGCAGGTGATGACGCCTTCTCCGATGGACTCCACCTCTCCGCAGGACTCGTGTCCCAAGATGCACGGGTATTTGCCAGTTGGGTCAACCCCTCGTTGAGTGATCTAAACGGCACATTTCAGCTCTGTTCATATGCCTTTCGTGAGAACATGCTGGATCCACTATTTGATTTTTGGGGAGCCAAGCTAAGCTTTCTTTCACGTCAATGGATATAATGGGTTGAAACGCACCTCATCCGTGTGGCAGGGGCACGCGTAGAGAATCCTCACACGGACTTCGCCTCGTTTGGGGGGTGCTACGTTAATCTCCATTATCTGCACACGCAGAGAAAGACGGTAACTTCAAAGCCAATGCCCAGAAAAGCTATATTTTATCATTTCCACCTCGTTCCCTGTCTGACGAAAGCTATTTTGAAAGGGTGTGCCAAGCGAATTGCTTGCGGGTTTACGACGCTGGCTGGCCGTAAGACCGGTGCCTTCTCTTCCCTCATTACTCTGAGCGATTTGCCCCCGCATGCGTAAGCTGCACTTTCTAGTGGAAATTTAGGCTGAAAAGTGAAAGCGTACTTCAAAGGGCTGGCCGGGAGCCATGACAACGGCCGCCTTGCAGACGATGGTTTGCGGAAGGTCACTCATTCTCCCCCGAAAATCGAAACTTGGACTGGCAGCTCTTGTCTCGGCAGACAATTCCTTTAATTCGTCACCATTTAGTTTTTTACAAGCTTGCGCGGATAGAGAAAGGAGTTCTACTTGCAGAGAACGACGCGGAAGGACCGGTTTGCAGGCCAGTGGCTACGCTACGGAAGCGATCAGAAAATGCAGGCAGGTGGAGTAGAACTGTGCCTCCATACACTGCACACGCATATTTTTCATGTTTTTAAATATGCATATTTGGCGGCTTCAGGGCTTGATACGGAAGAATCAACCCGGCTTCTTGGCTGATCTTCCCTGGAGAACGCCTGCTACCCAGTCTATCTTACAGACGTCAACAATGCAAGGTACCATAACATCAGCAGCTACAACTCACCTACTTATAAAAATGCTGATTATTAACATTTTTGCCTCTTTACATGCACTGGGTTTATTTGTTGACATACGAAGGTTAGCTGTCAAGCTCTAAAATGCGTTCGCATCAGATCTAAATTAACAGAAGTCAACGGTTGCTACCGCAAAAAGCAAAGGGTGTATGCAGGTGACTCAAATTTGCAATTTATCTGAGTTTAGCTCAGTAACTCATTCATTAAGTGCAAAAAATTGTGGGGATTGTGGGTAGGCTTTTGCCAAGGAAACTTCGACGCGGCGCACTGAGCGTATAGCGGGAGGCTCGCTTGCTCGTAGCTCTTTGTTATTTAGTAATCGTTAGATTTCTTCATTCACGCGCACTCACTCCCCCTGTTCGTAGGGGGTTATCTGGGCAGAATACTCTCAGAAGCGCGGGCTTCGTCAGAGACCCATGGTGGAGGGCATGGATTTCCCAACGGGTTCCGGGAGCACCTCTGCACTGCCTTAGAATCTCCTCGCTCCCCTCTTGAGAGACTAATTCCACTTCCCTTACCGTAGAGGATACAAATGCTGTTGGGAGTTCTGATAGATGCGCTCCTGATGGATCTCAATTGCGTCGTCTGAAAGCCGCATGCGAGCCCTCCACCCAGGGAGCGCATAGGATTAGTGGTGATTTGGTTCAGAGTAATAGTTTCGTTCCGTTGTAGTATGTCCAATTTGCTGACTTATCCGGCGTATTACTCCCAAAGCTTTACCGACCAGCGTTGCTTGTCTGCCGTTGGCGAAGCGTAGTGGCAGAGAGTGCACGAAAGAATAGACTGGTAGTCTGCATCAACTCTCTGTAGCTTCAGAAATAAGACCCACCTCGATGCCTGCGCTAAGTGAAACTGGAAAATCCTGCCTATCAATAAAAACATGGATACGCACAGAGTTGAGGCGAGAGGAGAGTCTCTAGGTGCGGAGTTTCTCACTTTCACTTTCGGCCCCATCTATCCATTACACGTATGCGTGGAGAACTGGGCATTTTCCGTATTGCCTTGTTGGTATCGCCACCATGCTTAAAACCGCGATTGTGATTGACTGCGATTGTTTAGCTTCCTAGTTTCTTCCATGCGTCTGTTACCTTGCTCGTTGCACAGGAAACACATGAATCACTCGCTGCGCCCAACGGCTACCCGCATGCCGGCCTCGCAATTAGCCGCGGGGAGTCGCTTCTTTTCTCAGCCGGTCTGGCACTCATAGCCCCAATGCGCATGGGCCCCATATCTTGCTCAGTTCCTAAGTCTTGCCGTTGTCTCTTAGCCACCTCGGTGGAAGTGGCTTCTTTGTCTCTCTCGTGAATAAGTACTCCATCATTTGGACGAGCCCGAACCTTTCATCTCCTAGTTCTCTCTCACTGGCCCAGCCAGATACTCATTGCCTCTCTGCGGGGAGCAGCCTTATTACAAATAATGGATAAGGAAGCTCCTAGTTCACTGCTGAGTTCCTCTTCACTGAGGAGTGATATTTTTCTGTGTGATCCTGCACATATAGCCACCCTTGTTTATGTTCTTTCAGTTCTTCCATAGCTTGTTCCCTTGCCAAGCTGGGAATAAACCTTAGTTGATCTGGCAAAGATCCCTTGGACCGAATGCGCTGCGCTAAGACTGTAGACAATTGTTAAACACTTTTTGCTTTGCATTCATTATCCAACTCTCACGTAAGAAGAAATATGTAGTTCAACTTCAGACAGGCAACCCATGTTCAACTCATACGCGTGCTTCACTTGCAACATGAGATGAAATTTCTTTTCTGTTTTAGGTTGTTTGTGCTAGACGCGTAGAGATTCCAACGCTTCTTGCATTGCTTTTAAGGTGAAGATAGCGGGAAATTGTTGAGACAATTTTATATTATCATTATTACTGTCTTCGTTGCTGCATGCACAGCCGCTTGTACACGGTTCTTGAACAGCCCCACTCGAATGCCGTTCGTCGTGGGGCTGCAGTAAGCGGTGCTGCTGCGCCCTCCACTGCTGCTGCGCTGAGTTTGCGTTGTCCTTCGTGTGTTCGTTGTGCAAATACATACATAATTCGTATTTGAAAATACCGGTGGCGGTATATAAAAAGGGTTGCTACGCGGAAACGCAGCAGTGAAACCCACAGCCCTCTCTGCCCCGGCAAGATGGTGAAGTCGTTGGAAGAGAACCCGATGCGGAAAATCCGCATCGAGAAGTTGACTTTGAACATTTGCGTCGGCGAGGTGAGGCATTTAATTTGATTTTAAATTTATTTTCATTCAAACCTACCCCAAAAAAAACGCAGCTGCTGCCCTCTTCACTGTGGGGTGGCGGCACCCGCGCGACTTGCATGCATTTTTTGTCCTACATGAGTTCATGTTTCCGTTGCAAAAACAAACATTGTTCTTTCTTCAGGTTTTTCAATTGGTGCTTTGCTAATGTGTATTGGGATCTGTGCGGTTGTGTTGGGTCTGAATAGTAGTTGGTGAATCTGAATGCGCTGCTGTTAATCCCCTCTCGGTTTCCGCTTTATTTGCTGCATTCTTCGTTTTGTTCTTGTTTTGCAGTCCGGTGACAGACTAACCCGCGCCGCCCGAGTGTTGGAGCAGCTGACGGGGCAGCGCCCGGTGTTGTCTCGTGCACGATTGACGATTCGTTCATTCAGCATTCGCAGGAACGAGAAAATCGCCTGTCACGTGACTGTACGAGGCAAGAAGGCTGAGGAAATCCTAGAAAAAGGACTAAAAGTGAAAGAATATGAACTTAAAAAGAAAAATTTCTCAGACACTGGAAACTTCGGCTTCGGTATTCAGGAACATATCGACTTGGGCATCAAATACGACCCCTCCACCGGTGAGCATTTCATAAGTATTGCATTTAATGCGTATATTATATATTTAATGCACTGTAAACAGAATATTCATTATATTAAACAGGTTGTTGCGTAGTTATCTCTCGGAGCCGCTGTAATCTTATTGCCAGGTTCTGCAGCTGCGCATGCAGTTTGCCTCTCCTCAGAGCTCTAAAGAAGGCGATTTTTAAATGTTTTTTCTTCTGTCTTGGTGTATGTGCAAGTGTACACGTGGGGTGTATGCTGCACAGTACAGCTTGAAATATAAGGAGGTATTGTCTTTGTTATTCTTTACATGCAGGCATTTACGGGTTAGATTTCTACGTGCATTTGTGCCGCCCCGGTCTGCGCGTCTCTAAGCGCAAATGGGCCCGTGGGAGAATTGGGCACAGCCACCGCGTGACGAAGGAAGACAGCATTCGTTGGTTTCAGCAGAAGTACGACGGCATCGTGTTGAACCGTTGATGCTGCTGTACTGTATGTACACCCCAACGTTAACGTGAAGGAGATAAACAACCACCACGCAGCTAAAACCAATCCAACGAACGCATGCACTATTCACACAATCTCGTGTTCGCAGTAGAAAGGCAGGGCTGGGTGGGGAAGGGGTCCAGCACCAACTGCAACAACTGCAAGGGGAGGCGCTGGCTTGAATGCTGCAGCTCTTCTCTTGTGCGCACGCGTGCAGTGTTCATTCAGTGCAAATAGACGCGTGAGAAAGAGAGGCGGCAAAGGTTGCTTGCTCCTCAACTTCAGTGACTCCGTTGGTTCTGAATCTCTGTCTTTTTCATACCTCGCATCAGGCGCAGTTTCAGGTGTACATACAGCTACTAGGTGTACAACTTATAGGTCTACATGAGTCTTCAGGTGTATATACATTAACACAACTATCTACCATCCAGCTAGAGAAGAGGGGCATTAGATTGCCTTATTTCCCTTGGGTATATATTTCCTGAGCCCTGTGACGTTAGCCATTGCTGGGTTGAAGCATTCCTGAGATTATGTGGAAGGAAATAATAAACTGACATGGAGGATTTCGTCTAGAGGGAGATTCTCTCTCGGTGTACATACACCGGAGCTGCTACACCCGCTACTTTCGCTGCGGTCCCTACTTAATTGATTAACCATACTTATTAATATTAGTATTTATTAATTGCCCTTTGCACATATTTAAAGGTATTAACTGCGGGAGTTGGGTTCGTGAGAGGCCCAGAGGGCAGCAGTACACTAAAGCCACAGCCTACGAAGGAAGATGATGAATGAGTAAGTCGGCGAATAAATCGAAGCATAAGTGAGTGAATATATACATATAGTTATGGTATATATACACATATAAACATATACAAAAATACATATATATATAATATATTCATTCACTTGTTTATTCACGATAATATTCGAGAAGCTGCAACTACTCAGGGTTTCTAACAACCATATCACTTGCATGCATGCATGCATGCACGCGAAGGTGCGGGAGGCAAACGTTTGTTTATGCGCTTTGTATACTCCTTTAAAAGCAACAAATGAAGCGCCTTATTCCCCTTCTTTACTGCTCTGCGTTATCATTCATTTCCTTTACAAGCTCCTTAGAGCGGGCCCGAGCAGATTGCGCAGCGAGAGTGACGAAGTCAGGACCAAACTCTTCTTGGATTTGTTTCTTCATCTTTCTAATAGCCCCTGCAGGCAAAATAGCAACACAATGCCGTTGCAGTGCGGTGTACGTACACCCGATCCCAATGAACAAACGAGCCCATAAATAAATATATGTATAGCAACGAGTAAAAGAAAAAAACTCACCCGCAGGGTCTAACCCTTTAGGACATGAAATCGAACAGTTCATAATGCCGTGACACCTGAAGCAGCCGCAAATCCCGCATGCATGCATATATATCCTTCCATGCATGCAATCTTGCATGCATGCATACACTCTTGCATGCAGTCTTGCATGCATACACCCTTGCATGCATGCATTCATGCATGCATGCTGTATTGCATGCATGCATGCATACACGCACAAAGTGCGCCTGCAAGTCTGAAGGACCCCCATCAAAGAGGAGAAATCCCCTCAACAAAATTTCAGATACACATACTATTTACATAGAAGCATATATATATATATATTTGCTTTCGCCGTTTTCAAGCGAGTTACAAGGAAATGAACGCAGCGTATCTGAAGACTAGGAGCTAAGATCGTTCATTCAGTGCGCGCGGTGTAACTACAGCTTATTATGTTTGCTTTAAGAAGAAGAATACGAATAAGAGCAGCCAACTAAGAAGTATAAGAAATTTCACCTGTATAATTTCATCGTGTCGTTGATTTGTGCGAGACGCTCGCGAGTAAATTCATCTCGACTGTCGCTGATCCATCTGCAAAAGAAAGCAAAAAAAAACTGGCAGAGGGTACAGCAGAGAGTTGCTGATACAGTGTATGAACATGGTGCTGCCGCTGCTGCAGAAGTAGCAGCAACAAGAACAACAATAATACTCAGAACAAGAACAGCAAAACCCCTTAACACTCCTACCCTCCTCCGCCCCCTCTATAAACACCTCTTTCTATTCACCTAAAAGCCTGCATTAACACAGCAGGGCCCAGATAAGCCTGTGGATTCCACCAGTAAGACGGGCAGGATGTTGAACAACAAGCGCATAATATGCACTCATACAATCCATCCAACTTCGCTCGATCTTCAATTGACTGAAGAATTTCTGTACCCTCCGTCTGCAAGAAAAAATATACAAAAAAGATCGAATTATTATATATTTATATTTATACTTATATTTATGTGTCTTTTATAAATACATTTATATATATATATATTTATATAAATTTGTACTTATATAAATGTAAATATAATACTCATATTTATATTTGTGTTTGTTTTTTATAAAGACAAACATATGCTTTGCTGTATTCAATCTCGAAATATATGTATATGCATATATATACCTACAAAACTATATATATATCTATATATATATCTATATATATATAATTATATATATATAACTATATATATATAGGTCTTGTTTCATTTTTGAACAGATACCGGTTTTGTCTTTCTTTGAAGCCAAGGCTGAATAGATTTATACTGAGAGTAGAAATTCGCTAAGTCGGGTACGAGATCTTTGAGCACTAAGAGATGAGGGAGAGGCAGCACATCAATAGGGGCCCCTTCATTATCATTATGAAAGTGCTGCGAATATTCATCTGTGCTAGGCCCTTGCATCTCATCTTGAGAAGCTATGCTCTTCTCTACAGCTCCAATTGCAGCTCCTAATACACCTCCCTCTGTACAAACAAATAAAATAATAAATACAAAAAGAAAAAAATAAAAATCTGATCATTACAACTCGGATGCATCATATACACTGCAATCTACACACATATATGTCATCGTACGAACCAATCAACATTATACAAAAAGAACTCATATATACATGCACTGAATGATTAAACAAAACATGCATGCATGCATGCATGCATGCATGCATCCTTTGTTTGGGTTGTTTCGTTTGGTATATATATATCTATATATATATCTTTAAAATAAAAGACCCTCTGCATAAGAGAGAGAGAAAGACATTTTTGATTTTTTAACCTCCTTCCCTCTCCTACTGCTGCTAGATATATATACATAAATATATATATATATATACATATATATATATTTATATACATATACGTATACACATACACATACATACACATATACACACACACATATATATACATATACATATACATATATACATATATTACATATATATATATATATATATATAGATGCATACTGATTGTGGGGTTTCTTCTCGTGACTCTGTTTTTGTTTTTAATCGGCGTTAAACAGGCGAGGCAATTTATGCCGTCGATGTTCATAGCGCAAGACCCGCAAATCCCTTCGCGACAACTTCGACGAAAGGTCAGTGTTGGATCCTGAAATAAAACAAAAAAAACATTAAAACAAATATTCTTCTCAACATTATGATGATGATGATGATGCTGCTGCTGCTGCTGTGAAGACGCAGGATATTACATATATATATATATATATAACATCAATATATATACATATACAGGCACACATCTATATATATATATATATATCTAAGCATCAACAAAACTAGGTACATATGCATGCATATAGACACATATTTATATATATTACATTCAAATGCTGCATGCATTGTAGAATTGTGATTAGGGGTTAATGCTACCTGTTTGTCTTTAATGGCTATTAGAGCGTCTAAAACCATCGGCCCGCATGTTGAGGTGTCTAGACTGTACTCTTGCATGCGGGGTCTTTCTTTCTTCTCTGGATCATAGCGATGGATACGAAAAGTGCGAATTGTGCTGCTGTTTGTGCTGCTGCTGCTGCTGCTGAAGGTCCTGCGTTGTTGCTGTTGTTGTTGTTGTTGCTGCTGCTGCAGCAGCAGTCTGTGCTGCTTCGGAGATGCAACAGACAGGAGAGAAGCTGAGGAACTCAAGGGCAGCAGCGAGCGGCTGACCACCGACACACCAGCAACTGAATAATAAGAAGCAAGACTCTGCATAGTGATGAATCGTTGAAGAAGAACAATCAATATAAAAACCTTTTAATATCACAAGGTGTACAGACACTTCGATTTTTAAACTGAAAAATCAAAGAAAATGTCCTTCAGCAAAACCTCTCGCCAGCTGTACAGACAGCATTGGTCTTTTCAGGGGATAACCTCCGCTAGTTTATAGATTTATTCAATTCTTTTAAATAAATTAAATACAATTTATTGCTATTTATGAACAGATTTTACCCTTTTTAATGCACAAACGATCATATCCTGCATGCAATTTGCATGCAACACGAAGACGACAACCAGCCACCGTCGAAGCAGAATTCCTGAATAAATATTTTTAGATTTTTAAAAAATTTTTATTTTTTAAATATAAATTAAGAAATTCAGACTTTTAATATTCTCCAGAAGCTTTGCATTCAACTAATTAAAAGTGAAGAAAGAAAACCCTCGACAGCGGCCTCAGCTAACTAACTCTCATTAATAGATTCTATTACATATCTTTTTACAGTCTTCTTTATTTGTTTATTATTTAAAATGAGGCGACAGAAAAGGTATGAAGAGCTAATAAAGTGTGTAGCTTCATAAGAAAATATTTAAACGACTAACACCGGTTTATATACACCTTACGAAGCCCCCCGCGTCTTATCCATCATTCAACAAGCAAAAGACAAAGAAAAACAACGCCTTGAATAAAAAGAATTATCAACAATGGCTGTACACCCTAAACCCTAAACCCTAAACCCTAAACCCTAGCAGTTGCGTAGGTAGGTGTCTTACTACCGTGGTAGAGTAAACAAATGCCGCTGTTGCATTAATATGTTGTCTTCTTTATAAGTGCATCTATTCTTATAAATGCATGCATGCATTAATTTATGGGGCTGCATGCATCTGCCAGTTGACACTTGTACAGAAAA